GAAATTCCTCAACATATTTTTCATTTTATTATATGAACACAAAATGAATTACTTATATTATTTGAAACACAATATAATTTATTTATAGAATATAATTCTTTTTAAAAGAGAGAGAATCGTATACAAACTTTTTATTTGTAATTACTGGGATTTAGAGAAAAGTGCAAGATTTAATTTACAATAATTTAAGAGTGATAAGATGCATATAATTTTAGCACTTTATTAGAATTTTTTCACTCAATAAATAATTTCCTTTTTTAATATGAATCTCAATCGTTCTACAAATTTCTAATGATATATACAAATTATATAATTAATTAAACTGACATCGTAGAAGCTTGACAAGAAGTCAACACACCGAACCTAATGTGCATGCGCACCATCAAACCAAAATACAAGCAGATAGAATTGTACTTAAATCCAAACAAGCACATATGACATCTGCAATTTAGTAATGACAATTATCTTGTATCTGTGAATAATATTAAAATAAAATTGATAGAATTAAAATTTTATTAAAATAATTTAATTATATTTTAATTAAATGTATTTTATTTTTAAATTTATATTTAAAAAATAAAACTTACAGCCTCAGAACAAGGTGTAAATAATCCTTCAGAGAGTTGATATAAAAAAATAAATTTTGATTGAAATTTTCAAGTTTCAAAGCAGATTCAATTTGCTTCGCTGAAAGAAAGTTGCAAGTGATAATGATTTGTTATCAACAATTTAAAAAACAAAATAAAGGTCATGGAATGGCTTGAGTGAAGATTGTATGTTTATAAGTCAAAACTGTTAACATTTAGGGATATATAGGGTCAAATGAATTTGAAAGCTCTTTTGAAGAAAAATATTTGCTTCCTCTCATTAACTAATGACTTTTGCGACACCGAGTTATAGGCACTAGCAGTGCATTTAGGAATGCATAATGGTTAGGTATGTCCTAAAAAGATGAACTTTTGACTCACTTTCAACCCTCCAATACATTAACTTCAAAGAATTATAAAAAATCACATTTCTTAGCCATATCTGGAAACTTCACTACCTTACGGAACCTAGCTAGATTCTCAAATTTTGCCTTCAATGTTAAGCTGCATGCCTAAAATTTGTTTTACCAATTATAACCATGAACCAATTCTATTAATCAACTAACAGGGACCCAATATGTGATCCATGCGTGTACATGTTTTGCACAAGTTTGTCTTGAATCAAGTGTTTTATTCAAACTATCAATTTCCTCATGGGTAGAACTTGAGTTAAATACTTTACCCATGTGATGTCAGCCGTGTTACCTAAGATAGAGGGATCAATTTTTCTTTTATTTACATTTTCAAACTTTAACCTTTAAATTTTACTTCACTTTAATTAAAAATAATAATATTTTATTAAAATTAGTATTTATTATATATATATTATCTTAATTAAAATCTAAAAACATTTATTCATTTCAACCCAAATTTATCTTAAAAGGGTTTTTAACTCCATATACTTAATATTTAGGTCATTGGTTAAACGATTTTGCCTCTAAATTTTGCTGCGACTGATTGATGCTCCTCTACCTTCGGTGTGGAGCAAAGTTTAAAACTTCACATGAATAAATTTTCAAACTATAGGTACAATATATATATATATATATATATATATATATATATATATATTTCTTACAAAAAAAATTATATTTAATTCAAATTTTTTATATAAATTAAATAAAAACTTAGATTGAGTCTAAATTTTTTTAAAATATATATAACTATTACGAGTATAATTATCATTTAAAATACATTTCTTTACTGTAAAGGAATCACATCTACTCAAAACTAAAAAAATTCAACAAAATATGGATACAAATACATATCACTGCATGTACTCAACTGCCAGCATGTAATTTAATGCTTTAATTATAATATTTAATATAATTTTTTTAATCTATATACAAATAAAAATCATATATAATAAAATTTTATTAAAATTTATAAAATATGACAAAATTTAATATATTAATAATATTAAATATTATAATTTTTAATAAAAAAATTATTATTTATATACTCTGAAACAAACAAATTATTTTACATATCAAAACTTTTGAATCGTATAAAAATTATTCTTTTCCTACACTTCTTTTAACCCAACATAATCTTTTTTTCTAAAACAAAGAAAGCATGAATCACGATCTATATCAAGATTTAACTTTAATAAGGTCTGTCAAGGTTATGAAGTCAACTTATTCTTTTCTTAAATATGATACCATTGCACGGTAATCACAAAAACCATATACAATCACATCATCACATGCATCTGCATCTCTTTGTTAAGTTTTTTTTCTCTCTCACAAAAGTTAACCCTGGTGTTACTGGTTGATGTTATCTCAACTAAAATATTATCGAACTTATATGAAGTAAACCATGAACATTTTTTATTATTCAATTGAGACAGATAACTATTACAAGGCAACGAGTACACATACATAGAAGGTATAATATGAATCAAGATAACTGATTAATAGAAAATCTACACTAACTTACAATGAATAATTGAATGTAACACACTAAGATATTCACTTAATTAAAGAAATAACCCAGATTTCCATCCAAACTTTTATACCAACCATGTTACAAGCGCATTCCTCTTAAATTCTTTTCAGATGGAACCAACAGCCACACTAGAATCAAGAACCAAGTTCCTTGAAACAAAACCTCAATATTATAATATCCATAACATCTAACCATGTAACCATGGCAAATCTAAGCCATTTCAAACTCTAACGCAAACATAGATTCTCAAACTCTAAACAACATTCATCCTTTCACGATCATTGCTGTCTAGCTACTGTAACACCACCCTCTTGGACCAGGTGGAGCACCGATGATGCAATGGATAAGAATATGGTTGTTGTCCGAAGCCAAAATTATTGCTAATAAAAACAGAGTTGTCAATATAGTGAGTTTTAATTAGAGAAGGACATGTCATGGTATAAATAGACAAAATTTCGTTATATTTCAATGGCTTTGATTTGTATAACATGCTACTCTCTTATTTAGGTGGAAAGAAGAGGATATGATTCCTATTAAACCAATGTTTGAATTAAAATTAAAAGCTTCTAATTGATTTAGACATGAATTTCTCCCAAATTCAAATAAACTCTACCTGGTTAAACCGCTAAGCCCATTGTATGTTAATGTTGTAATAAAAATAATAATATACTTTTTATGCAATTATTATTTAATACTTAATCAATTTGGACGAATGCACTATTAGAGAAAATATCCTTAGGTGTCACCGAATATATATGACAAGAGAAAGAAAGAGACTGAAGGTGAAAGAAAAAATAAAATTTAATTTTAAATTAATTAACGTGTACTTTTACTTTTTGTTAATATTTTTATTAAGATAAGTTTGTTTTACTAAATGGATATTTGATAAACTCATTAATAACTTCAATTTGTTTAAATCTTTTAATATAAATGAATTAAATATAAAATAACACATTTAAATATAATACTGCAAAATGTATTCACAAGTAAAATATTTTATTAACTTGAAGAGTTGACACAAGGATGTAAAATTTTATTATCTTCACAGTGTGTGATTAATTTAGTTTTTATCGTGTAAAGCATCATATTATGTATCACTAATTAATTGTGCTACATTTTAATTCATTATTTTAAAACTAAAATTTTGGATATATCACATCATGTTGTTTCTTTGTGCACTCTTAATTTCTTTTGATTATATAACTAAAGACTCTGGTTTTTTCTGATCACTCGTGAAAACAAAACAATATAAATGAAGATTATTACGTATATTTTTCATTTTTTGCTTTCTGTCTTTTGGCGGATGAGAACGTTTATATACGCTTCCGACCACTTAAAAGCAATATGTAACCAAGTTAAAGTTGCTTTAAAACCACATTATTTTCTCTGACATTTTAATATTAAATTTTAGTTGTCAATGAATTTGGGATATGAAATTATTTTAAAATTAAAAAATAAAAAATACAATGAAAATTTAATACAATTTAAAGGATTTTATAAGTTGTAAAATTTGAGTTTTCAAGAGGAATTTTAAATTTTATTTTGGGTAAAATATCATGTTTTATTAAATAAAATTTGAATATAATATAATTTAATAAATTAATTTTTTAATTATTTAAAAATAAATATATTTAAAAATAAATTTTTAAAAAATTTCTAAAAAAATTGTATTTTAGAAGTTTGACTCATAAATTTAAAAAAATCTAAATAATCATTGAATAACTGAATTTTATTCATTAAATTAAAAAATAATATACTAAGTCATATTTTGGGAATCTAATTTATATGTTTTATTTCGAAAACAAAAGTTATGTATAAAGAATACGGCCTTTTCTTCTTTGTGGTGTTTTTTCAATACAATTTATTCTACTTTCATAAAAAAAAAATACATTAAATAAAAAATATTACGTCAAATTATACTGTGTAAAAAAAAAAGGTATAGCAGTACAACGACCAGAAGAAAGATTCGGGAGGTGAACGAAAAAAGAAAATTTTAAGTTATATCTTTAAACTATGATTTTAATTTCTAATATATTTAATTATGATAACTGTTTTTAATTTTATAATGTAAAAATTACACTCTTCTACTAATGATAAAACTTGTTAATAACTTTAAGTTGTTTAAATATTTTAATCTAAATAAAGTAAATATAATCCTTAAAGTAAAAATAATACTTCAATATAATACAGCACGAAGCATTAAACTGACAGATAATAAACCTATTAAAATATTTGATTTGGTAAAGTACCACACCTCGCTGATTGTGTCATTTAAAAACCAAAATCATGCTTTATTATAATAATCAATAAATAAAATGTAAAAATTAGCAGCGAACCAAAGGAATGTGAAAAGAAAGATTTAAGTGTGATGCGTGATGACCATTATGCCCAACTTGGAGCTTTCCCAGCTCGCTCCACCCTCTTCTATAAATCTACCCCCACAGTCATAACCCTTTTCTCACTAACCTCTCTCAGATCCCAAGCAAACACAGGCAAACTTGGTGGTTTGGATTCTCTCTGTTTCTCTCTTCTCCTTCACCAACATGTTATGTTATGTTGCATTAATATGATAAACACTCTGTCATAAAATTCTGCAGGCCATGGACTTAGAAGCACGCCAAGTCACCACGTGGGAAGGTTACGTCGACTGGAGAAACAAACCCGCTCTCAGAGGCCGTCATGGGGGCATGCTTGCAGCTTCCTTTGTTCTGGGTCTGTCTCAAAACTCCCTTTTTTTGGTTTTATTAACTTCAGTTTGCAAGTCGAGTTTAAACATTTAAAATGATCTTTTTGGGGGGCATCTTAAGCCATGTACTCAATTGGGTCTCCGTTTCTGGCCAAGTGCTTTTATGGGTGGAACCAAAAAGGTTTACACTTTATATTTAGAAAGGGAGAGAAAAATAAACAACATTTTTTCTTTATGAATATTTAATAGGAGACATGCAATTCATTTGGCTAGCACTGACTCCGAGGTTGTTGTGTTTTTTTTAGTGGTGGAGATATTGGAGAATCTGGCGTATTTGGCGAATGCGAGCAATTTGGTGTTGTACCTGAAGCAGTATATGCACATGTCTCCTTCTAAGTCTGCCAACAATGTGACCAATTTCATGGGAACGGCCTTCCTCCTTGCCCTCCTCGGTGGTTTCTTATCCGATGCCTTTTTCACCACTTATCATGTGTACCTGATAAGTGCACTTGTTGAGTTCCTGGTATTTCACTGCATTATACCCTTCCTTTTCCTCCTTTTGATCATCACTTTATGTGTATGTGTTTGTATGTGTTACTTTCTCTCACTCACTCACTCAAACCTACCTATTACGTTAGCCCATGTTGTAATTTTATACTCCTAGCTTTTGCACTTACTGTTTTTCTCCTTTTCCATGTTATGTCTCTGTGATGGGAGAGAAAATTAAAGTAAAATGGATACCTACTACTAATGTTAAATTTTAATTATACAATATCGTACGGTTAAAAATGGCAACTTTTATTTTTAGATACTTGGAATTAATTTCTGAAAAATGATGTTAGTGTTTTTCATATTAAATGAATGGAACTAGTTTAATATTTGTTAAAAGAGAAATAAATATGGGGTATAAAATTTTGAGCATGACTTGTTATATTGGGGAGGATTCATTTTTAAAAAAATGAGGAAATTGTTTTATTGATTTATTATTGGGTAACTCAAAGAACACGTGTCTTGCAAAGGGTTGTGACGTGTTTACAAGAATAAGAGTCAGTTGCAATGTTTTGCAACTTGCAGGGTAGGGTTGAATCAAATGGTGCGACCAAAACCCCCCATCAAAGAATTGAAATTGTGAATATGTTAAAAACGCTTATCCGTCCATGGATTCCCTATCTTTTGCTGCATTCTCTCTCCCACTTGCTTTAACAACACAGTTTTACATCTCTTCTCATTTTATCTCAAAATTATTGTAAAATGCACATCTACTAGTACATGTTGTGTGACCTTGAACTCGCAATTAATCTTAGTGGTTGCCAGGGAAGAAATAGAGTAGCTGAGAGAAAAAAAAAAGTAATGCATGAGCATGATGCACATAATTATATACTATTTGATCTAGTGGTCAGCATCTAACAACATCATTTAAATGGGATGGGCACATAATATGGCTGTTAATGTCCGACGACTTTATCCTTTTGCTTAATGGAGTGGAGGAGATAAAATAATGGTGGTGGTGGGAAGAGATTTTGTCCTTTTATATTATATAACTTTTGGTGTTACATGAAGAAAGGAAGCGAGAAGAGAAATTATAAACATGACATAGACTATCAAATTTATTATAAAGTTTAGCAATTGTTTATTTTAAATAAATAAATTTTGATTAGTTCTTCATATTTTATTATTCTTTAAAAAAATATCTTTATATAAAGTAAGCATATCTTTAATTTATTAAATATAAGGAGACCCCACGTATTATTTTCATGCAACGTATTTAATTTCCTCAATTGCCTCGGACCCCTTTGTTTATTGTACATCATACATCATCTTTTGTCGTTTCGACCTCTTAAATCTCACCCGTAATAGTACGTGTAATCTTGAGATCACAAACCCTAAGAAGCTACTCTATTATATTTGGAGTTCGTACAATTGTTTGAAATTATTTAATAATTAGGAATGAAAAAGAGAGAAAAATAGGAATACAAGATAATTAAGTCAAGTCTCCTTAATAACCGTTCAAATACATGAATATATTACAAAAACATTCGAGTTCAAATTAAGACATAATTTTCACTTCACACTATTATTTGGGTTCTGCTTAATTTGTGACGGGTGCTCAAGAGTTTATTCAGTAACACCATAAGTGACAGACATTATTTCTCGTAATCTTCGTTTTATTCTAGAAGGTTTCCTTTTGTATAATCTATATATTCTAGAAGTTTTAAATAGCACATATGAGACATGTTCGCATACAACTTTGTAAGTTTGTGAACCACGTGTGTGGTTATCATTTTGATGATCCATAATCACTATCCTTTCATAAAGCACATATAACTCCCTGAAAACGCCAACATAACTCACAGTGACATTTCATGACTTGCTGTTAATAATGTATTATAACAAGTCCTTGTCTATGTTACGGTCTATAGACACGTGGCCTAGGACATTGTTGCTTGTATACACTTTTCTCTGTACTAGACCATTTTCTATTGGTCAATATTCGAGGAGTGGTAGGCACAGTATCTTATTATTATTTGTAGTCCAAAGGCATATACGCTGGCGAAATTTGTGATATTTTATTGGTTCACTTTCATTTTCTTAGCAAAAACAAAGGGACATAAGGGGCAGAAAAAGATGGGTAGGTGTCACTAATGAAATTAACGCAATGTACATGTGCATTGCTATCTATCCAACTCCTGCTGGGGGTACCCACCAGTTGATATTTTCTTTCAGCTTTTATTTGTGCATCAAATTGGGCCCATTTATTAGAACAAATTTGGGCCTCGGTAGGTTGGGTAGAAACACAGTTTAGGCCTGCTATAACGCCCTTTTTCTCAGAACAATGTATGATTCCTGACCAAACAAAAATATACTAGCTTCGTAAGATTTTATTAAAAAAAAATTATTTATCATATTTTTATAATTTTAATATAATAAAAGTATTATTTTTACTGTTATTACTTTTCGATGCTTAAACTTAGTCCTAAAATTTAATAAACCTTAAAAAAGTATTATGACTAGAACAACGTAAAATTAATGACTAAAACAACATGAGGACATTATTAGAGTTAAATGTTTATAGAATTAACTGACGTTGAAGAGTTGGTTATGTAGAAAACATGAATTAATGTAATTAATCCTACTTAGAGGGAAACGAAACTTTGGTTGTTGATATAATTATTTAAAGATATTCCAACAGATTATTAAAATAATTTTGTATCCTTGTTATGCTTTGTTATATTGCAAAAATGTGACATGACTAAGGAATTCGGAGTTTTGGTGCAGGGTCTGATTGTTCTCACCATACAAGCTCGCGAGCCTTCACTGAAGCCACCAAATTGTGAGCAAGATACCCCATGTCAAGAAGTTAATGGTGGCAGAGCAGCAATGTTGTTTGCTGGTCTCTATCTGGTGGCTTTGGGAGTTGGAGGAATTAAAGGGTCACTTCCAGCACATGGTGGTGAGCAATTTGATGAAACTACTCCATCTGGAAGGAAGCAAAGATCAACCTTCTTCAACTACTTTGTCTTCTGCCTATCATGTGGTGCCCTTATTGCAGTTACTTTTGTAGTGTGGATTGAAGATAACAAAGGGTGGCAATGGGGTTTTGCTATATCTACTATTAGCATATTTCTATCTATCCCATTATTCTTGGCTGGCTCAGCTACTTATAGGAACAAAACCCCTTCAGGAAGTCCACTTACAACCATTCTAAAGGTAACTTGCATGCCGCCAACCTCTACTTAAGTTATGTAAATAACTTGGTTAAATGCTTAATCTCTTATTACATAAGACTTATACCTTTAACTTGGCCATAGAATTTATTGAAATAAAGAAAAGAGCTGTTTTATTAAGGTATAGTAAGAAACTTATTGATATATGCTAAAAAAATTTATGAAAGTCCTAAACCATTTTAATAAACTCCACATAACCCTTTAAGTTATAAGATAACCCCTTATTTCCCATTTTTTCCTTCATTATTGTCTTGTATCCCTCTTTGGCTAATTTAGTATGTCATGTACTTCCTCCTGTTTTAAATATGAGCAGGTTCTTGTTGCGGCTTTACTGAATAGTTGCACCTACAGAAACTCTAGCAGTGCTGTCGTGAATATGGCTTCAAGCCCTTGTAATCCACACTCAGGTAGAAGAGAATCAGAGGAAGAAACTGTAAAAGCAAGCACAGGAACTGAAACACCAACTGAGCACCTCAAATTTCTTAACAAAGCAATTACAAACAAGCCAATGTATTCATCACTAGAATGCACTGTGCAGCAAGTAGAAGATGTTAAGGTAGTATTGAAAGTGCTACCTATATTTGCTTGTACCATCATACTTAACTGCTGTCTAGCTCAGCTATCCACATTCTCTGTTGAACAAGCTGCTACAATGAACACCAAGCTTGGTTCCCTAAAGGTGCCACCAGCTTCTCTACCAGTTTTCCCTGTGGTCTTCATCATGATCCTAGCACCAATTTATGACCACCTTATCATTCCCTATGCAAGGAAAGCAACCAAATCAGAAATGGGCATTACTCATCTCCAGAGGATTGGATTTGGATTAATACTCTCTATAGTTGCAATGGCAGTGGCTGCACTTGTTGAAATAAAAAGGAAAAGGGTGGCCATTAACTCAGGCCTAGTTGATGATGCAACCAAACCATTACCTATCTCATTCTTATGGATTGCTTTTCAGTACTTGTTTCTTGGGTCAGCTGATCTTTTCACCTTGGCTGGGTTGTTAGAATTTTTCTTCTCAGAAGCACCAATAAGAATGAGATCCTTGGCTACTTCTCTTTCTTGGGCCTCTTTGGCAATGGGTTACTACCTTAGTTCGGTGATTGTTTCTATAGTGAACAGTGTCACTGGGAACAGTAGCCACAGATCATGGCTATCTGCTGCCAACCTTAACCACTATAATTTGGACAGGTTCTATTGGCTCATGTGTGTGCTTAGTGCGTTAAACTTCCTACACTACCTCTATTGGGCCATTAGGTACAAATATAGAGGGAGAGGTACTACTGATGAATGAAGCAAAGGGGAGTTGTTCATATGATCCACATGAGGGTTTAAGAGTTTATTGATCAAATTTTTGCCTAGCCATTCCTGAGCTGGAGTTGTGTTCAGCAAAAGGGTGCACAGCATTTACCCCCAAAGAAATAGCATTGGAATATCCTTATATATGCTAGAATAATAGATAGAAAGAACATAGGAAAAAAGAAACAAAAATAGTGATAGCATCACTTCATGTGTAATCAATCTAACTCTGGTTTATCAATAGTGAAAGCAAATGTTTTTATTCAACTTGTAGTGATGATATAAACCAATCTTTGCTCTTGGTATGTACTTGCACTATGTGAAATGAGACCACACAACGAAATGAAGTTTTTATTTTAATATTTAACTTTATAAATGACCAATTGAATCTTATTTGGAGTAAATTAATAGTAAAAAATAATTAAAATATTTTTTTACAACGTTAAAATTTAAATAAGTATTTCATAAAATCAAGGGCTAAAAATAACTTATACTTACAGTATTATAATAAGCTAACTGAAAATTAAAAAATTAGCTAAAAATCAAAAGTTAAATGTTGACAGTTAATTAAATTAAAAATATTTTTTAAAATTAACTGATAAGTATAAAATGACATAATTGAACATCAAATAAAAAATTATGTCAAATAATAGGGATAAAAAAAATAAAAACTTATAAACTCTAAAGTTACATAAAATAGTATTTAATCAAACAAATAAATTTGTTCAATAAATGAACACGCCACTAAAATAAGTTCTTTATTGAACAAATTTAATTTAATCAATTTTTTTAAAATTAATCAAATAAATTAGAAAATACCTTAAAATTTTGTGAAACACACCCATAATTTTGAGAACTAAAATAAAATTTTACTCACTGAATGTTTTGTATCTATTTCAAAACCTTTTAAAGGGTATAAGTCCTACTTTGCTCAAATGACGAAAAATTTGTTGGTTTATAAGTTTATGTGAAGCAATAAGGGTTGGTGAACTTATAAACATAAAATTTATTGTTGATGACCAAAATTTTAAGGAGAATCTATATATATGAGGGCCAAATACTCTTCCTAAGACAATAGTATTTTGTCATTCCTAGGTACAAGGTAGATAAAGCTATATAATAAACGAATAAAGGTTTATTATTCGACAAATAATTTATTCTACTGATGCAACCATTTTTTGAAAATTTTTTCATCAAACACTCTTTAATTTCGGTTGCATTTCATTCCTTGTCAATTTATTAATGGAACAAAATACTTTAATTTGGCTTGTGCTTTACGCTGACCGTGTGAAAGGTAGAGAATGCTTCTTTATCATTAAAATCGTTGTCATCTTTCAGCTAAGAATAAAAATAGAATCCTTGTCATTGTTCTTTGCTATATCTGTTTTCTATTTTTCAATTGACCAATGTTACTTGTTATCAATCTAGAATTGAATGTTCTTTTAATAACATGAGAGCCATATAAGAAAAGAAAAGGAAGAGAATTATTAAAATTATACCTCCATTTCCTCTTTTACAGCAGCAGTGTTATGGGCCTCGGACTTGTGGGTTACGAAGCTTATAGTTGTGGGCATACAGAACAAACATGTGTACAGACATTGAATCATCACATCTTGTATTAATGGCACAAGTGCAGATGAATGCTCTCCCCCGATAACATTACATCTAATTTATTTATATTGCTATTCATAAACAATATATATTAAAATTAAAATTTAAAATTATTTTTGTATGCAACTGTGGATGGTATGATAACAGTTGACAGCCCCACCGTCAATGCTCCCAATTGAAGTGTGTTAATTGCTGCAAAATAGATAAGAGTCGTAACGTTGACCCTTACCCACCACATGCATACTCAGTCTGCAACTGTGTCCCCTACAAAGCCTCACTCATTTACATAACCCCACACACATTCACTCTCAAATTGTAGCTCCCAATTTCATTTTCCTTCTCTTAGTAGGTGAGTGCCATTATTCTTTCCTCTTTTATTTAAAAGATATAATATTTTATTTAATTCAATAATTAAATTATATAAATTTTATTTTAATCATCATATATTTTAAATTTTAAATAAATAAAATATTTATTTAAAATAAAGATATTTGATGAGGTATGAAATAATTTTAAAATTTTATAAATTTACCTATTTATTTTAAAAAATAAATTAATGATTACATTTAATATGTATAAAAACTTATTAAGTAGAGTAAGTTAATTAAGATTTATTTTTAAAATAAGTAACAAAAAAATTAGAAAATAAACATATTTATTTATACTGTTATTTGAATCTCTCTTATTGTTTATCCTACATACGAGAAACATTTTCCATTTTATAATAAATCCATAACAGCAGCCTTCCATATGTTATACGATTAATAAATAGGGAATTCTTTGGCATCTTGTGACGTAAAAGAATGAGGAACATAAAAATGGCGTTCAAGTTCAAGATCAAGAACGCCCCATCCTTACTCCTCCACCTCACCATTCTCTTCCACGTAATTGGAACATGCAATGCAGGCACAGAAGGACATTGGGTTGAGCTGCGACGCAGCATAGGCATCTCCGCCATGCACATGCAAGTAATGACAGACAACAAAGTAGTCATCTTCGACCGAACAGACTTTGGCCCCTCCAACATCTCCCTCTCCAATGGCCGTTGCCGCTTCAACCCCCGCGACCTCGCTCTCAAACTCGACTGCACCGCCCACTCTGTCCTCTACGACATCCCCACCAACACCCTCCGTCCCTTAACCCTCCAAACCGACGCATGGTGTTCCTCCGGCGCCGTCGCCCCTGACGGAACACTGATCCAAACCGGGGGCTTCAACGACGGCTATCACAAACTCCGAACCTTCACTCCCTGCCCCCAACACAACCAATGTGATTGGCTTGAGCTTCCTCACAACCTCACCAACAGTCGCTGGTACGCTTCCAACCACATTCTCCCTGACGGCAGAATCATCGTCGTCGGTGGGCGTTCCTCCTTCACCTATGAGTTTGTCCCCAAGAACGACGCGTCGTTTTACTATCTCAGATTCTTGAGGCTCACGCGCGACCCTAACCCTGGCGAAGAGAACAATCTTTACCCCTTCTTGCATCTCTTACCCGACGGAAACCTCTTCATCTTCGCTAACCGAAACTCCATTCTCTTCGATTACACTCGCAACCGGGTAATCCGCGAGTTCCCGATTATGCCCGGTGACGAAAAGCGTAACTACCCGAGCACCGGCTCTTCTGTTCTCCTTCCGTTGAATTTAACCGGTTTGCAAAACGGAACAGGGTTACCGGACGCGGAGGTTATGATATGTGGCGGCGCCTTCCCTGACGCGTTTAGTTTCGCAAACAAGCTTAAGGTGTTTCTAGAAGCTTCAAGAACGTGCGGGAGGTTGAGAGTGACCGACCCGGAACCCGAATGGGTCATGGAGTTCATGCCTACGCCGAGGGTTATGCCCGATATGATTTTACTCCCAACAGGAAACGTGCTTATTTTGAACGGTGCAATGAATGGAACCGCAGGATGGGAAAACGCAGCGAACCCGGCTTTCTATCCGGTTTTATATAGACCCGGTTTGATCGACCCGTTTTCGAGGTTTCAGTTACTTCCTCCGGCGAACACTCCTCGGATGTATCACTCAGCGGCTGTGCTGCTGCCAGATGGCAGGGTTTTAGTGGGTGGGAGTAACCCGCATAGGGTGTATGATTTTCGGGCGTACCCGTACCCGACTGAGTTGAGTTTGGACGCGTATTACCCGGATTATTTGCGCCCCGAATTGGGTCCGTTGCGGCCCACCATAATTGCGGTGGAGGCCGCGAATAATACGGCGTCATATGGGGGGCTGTTTTCCGTCACTTTCTCGTTGACGGAGTATCGTTCGGAGAAGGGGGTTGTTGTGACACTGGTGGCGCCGTCGTTTACGACGCACTCGTTTGCGATGAACCAGAGGGTGTTGGTTTTGGATGTGGTGAAGGTTGAGAATGGGGAGCCGTTTGATTACAAGGTTACGGCGCGTGGGCCCCCTTCTCTCTCTGTGGCCCCACCTGGGTACTACATGCTTTTCATTGTCCATGGTGGAGTTCCAAGTAGTGCTGTTTGGGTTCAGGTTAGATGAGTGATGATAGTTTGTGGATGGTTTGGACAAAAGTGTTAATGTCAAGGGTTTGCTCAAATTATTATTTGGAATGGTTTTTGTCCAATTGACAATTTTAGGGTTTTAGAGGTATATACAGAGTAAGACACCGTTCTTTGTACATTTCTTAACTCTTCTATTTAACTCATCGACCAGTTTTTTTTGTGAATCTTATTTTATCATTCAGTTGTTTTTCTTTTTCCCTTCTTCATTGTGTGTTAGATAGGAAAGATAACAGTGAATGTCACTTAAAATACCAATTACACGTAGAATAATAATAATAATAATAATAATAATTTTAATAAAAACGTAAATATTTTTTAATCTTTAAAATAATTATACTTTTTAAAGAGGCTACCGTTTAAAGACTATCAAAAATTAGTTTTGATGAAATATGTGTTTATTTTAAAGATTGTAATTTTTTTTTCAAAATTAATTTTAATAAAATTAAATTAAGTTATTATACATGATTAATATATATGTTTAAATTAATTTAAATTCATATACATTTTATTTAAATATGTATTTAAAATTAAAAACTATAAAAATGATTTTTTTTTTATTTTAAAACAATCAAGACTCCATTTATCACATATATTCATTTATTTGAAGCTATTCGTAAGAATCAATTTTAACGTGTTTGAATTCTAATTAAAGAAAATGAAGGCCTAAAATTATGTTACTTAACGATCTCTCCTTATAAAAGATCTAAATTGAGAACAATGTAAGTTGCTTATTAGTATTTTATTAGAAATTATTCTACTATCTATTACTTTGAGAGTAACACTTAAAGAATTACTCCATTAAATAAAATATTTTTGTTATAAATTATGGGAAATATATATTTATAATATTAAATATTGTATTTTTCAATAAAATATTTTTTTTTAATGTTTTAACCATTACTCATAGGATAATTATAAGTAGAGCAAATTGAGTGCATGTGTTGGATTTGTTTTTAAGAAAAAAAAAACCATTTTAAAAGAAAGTCTCAACAAGATTTATTAATTTTAAATAAAAGATATGTTGAAAATTTTATAATAATAATTTTTTTAGTAAAGTTTAATATTCAAAGGAAATTATTTTAGAATTTTCTCAAAAAAAAAAAAGTTTCTTCAAAAAGTAGTAAAAGAAAATTGAATCTTAGAGGTGCTTTGTTCATAATTTAAAAATATATTTAATTCTAATTTATTTTTTAATATAAAACATGTTAGTTAAAAATTTAAGCACATTAAATTTTACAGAAACAGTTTAAGATGAAATAGATTTTAACTCCAATAATTGTCAATAATTTAGATTTTAGTCTTTATATCTGTTTTCTTAGGTATAGGTTTTAATAATTTCATATCATTAAGGTTTCAGTCTTTCAAAATAAGGATTATATTCTAAAAGGCTATATAATGAGGAGTTTTTAAAAATCTATGAATTGCAATTCAAGCAATGGCAAATGGTTTCTTAACAGAATATATGAATATAGTAATTACTTTAATGATTTCAAATATATATATATATATATATATATAATTACTTTAATGTCCCAAAAATTATAAATTGTAGTAGTTTAAATTTAAAAATTTGTAACTAAAATCTACTTCAAGTTAAAAAAAAAAAAACGGATGAAGAGTGATGACGCATTAAAATAATAAAGATGAGGTGAATTCAGGTACGTCTTAATTTCGAGAAATCGATGGCTAAATTTGTAAAGAAAAAGGTCACTACATGTCACCGCAAATATAAAGATAAGGTGAAATCAGTACAAGTCGAGTTTTATTGGTACATTCTGGACCATAAAAGTTCCTTTCAATCAGTACGATCACTAGTTGAGGGTTTTCTTACAATTGACAATATGGATATTTTTGTGTTTTTTACAACTCAAATTTTCACCTTTGCATCATCTCAACTATGACTAGTTGAGAATGAAAATTTTCATTTTTCCGAATGGATTAACATCTTTGGGAAGTAGGCATAGTATTAGGAAAACCACCCTCTTATATTTTGACTATGATTTCGAAGATCCAGCTGATAAACTCCTCACTGCAACCTTTACAACACCAACCACGCTAAGCTGCCTCCTCTCAGGACTCAAACACTTTCTATTTCTATCATCGTTGTTATTGTCATCTTCTATTTGAACTCCCACAAAGTAGGCTACCTGAGCAAAAACAGAATTCAGCAATTATGAGATAATAAGTATAATTGGTTCCCTGATACTTCCTTTTACCAAAAATTTCACCATAAAAGTAATTGGTCTACGTAGAAGTAGAGTTGCTTCATAACTCATCAAACTAAAAGCACATAAATGTGAAGAACAATCACGTTATGTACACGCGTTAAACCAATATTATATATGATGCTCAAGGCGTCTCTTCCCAAAGTGCATGTCATGGATCCGTGACTAACTTAAATTAGCAAAGACCCGCACTAACGTACAAGAATGAACTACGTCCATATAAGAACAAAATCAGCTAATTTTACTAATTACAATTGACAACTAAAATTAAGACTGGATGGGACTTGGGAGGATGCAAGACTGATTTATCATCCTTAAGCACAGATATAAAAGTATTCAGGCATCAATTGGATAAACAACAGACCGAATGTTCACAAGTAAAATTATGTGATCAGGCACTACAATGGAACGTGAAAATTATCCTAAATAACTAATTGAGACGTTACTGAGATAAATATTTTATCAAGCCATCATCATCTACAACAGGCTACGGTTTCAGCTACTATTTTTCACCCACAACATTTACTTTGGCGATCAGATGACATCAACTCTACTTTTCAAACGACAGATTCATATAGTAATTAGTATACAGCTGGCGTCTTCTGATGAACACCAAAACTTACAGAATAATTACATTCACGCAATTTTCATTTAGCCAATCTTGAATATATTGCAACTTTCTCCAAATCAGTTTACTGATTTCATCACTTGAAAGTATTTTTTTGGGGGAAAGGGGGGGGGGTGTTAATTCACAACTGGCAAAACCAAGCATTGGGGTCAGTTTTGTTACTACATGAACCATTCTTAATAACTTAGGCAAGTAGCCGGATAATAATAGATACAGCCACAGTAAAACAACAGCAAGCACACAACAATAATTGTGAACTCTTATCCCAGCCTTACTACAGAAAATGAATGGTCCAGACCAACAAAGCACTTGCTTGATATGCACAAGGAATGAGAAATTTCAGAGTTTAGAATCATAAAGAAGATAAACAAACAACATACAAATTTCTATAAATTTAGATATAGTTATATATTAGAACGTGACTGATTAGAATAATAAAAAAATTTGGAACTGTCAAATCAGCAAAAATAATAGCAGTCTTCCAATTGCCAAAGACACAAAATCAAAACCATTTTCATGTTTGATGTGTTAATATTTCTCTTCCCAATCAGACAGGAAAAGCAAATGACTGACAGTATATGAGACATTTAAAATTTATAGTTCAGCTAATAAATAGTTTGTCAAGATTACCTTGCCAGAAGCATCTCGAACAGGTGAGATGTGAAGAAAATTCCAAAATGAGCTTCTATCCTTCCTGTTAGTGTCGCAGAAAATTAATTCAGCATATTTAATAAATAAAGTTCACAGCTTTGGCAGCACAAACAACAGTGAAGTATTAACCTGTAATTCAAAATACGTACTGTGCATGGTTGTTCAGTTTTAATGCTTTCTCTAATCTGTAAGCAATAAGAAAAAGACAAAACCACATGATCTATTTCCATTCTAAGTTGCCAAACTACAAGACAACAATGAAGAGCTATGGTGAGAAAAGTGAATTACCAGATGTAAAGTTGAGGTATCAGTATTTGTTCCACCTAAAATTCTACAGTTGCGGCCCAAGACTTCATCCCTTGCATAACCTATTCAAGTAACATAAACAGAAATTCTAAGTAAAACCGAGTAATTGGTTTTATATCCTCAAATCAGATGTTGGAATTTCATGCAAATATTCACAAGGCTATTATTAATTTATACAAGGAAAAGGTTTTAGAACCTGTCAATTTCAAGAAGGCATCACTGGCATAAACGATAGGCATGTCTGGTAAATGCGGATTAGTTCTGCAAGGAAACTCAAAACCAAACAAACAACATATAAGCAAATTAAGGGACTGCAAAAAGCATCTTGTGGTGAAGTAAGAAAACTAGACTTTTCCAATAACTCACAATACAAAGCTTTGTTTGATTCTACCAAGAGAAATAATCAAGGATGTGCTTAAAAGACCCACGTCAGGAAAACTACATCTCTTTCTACAAACCAATCTGCCCGTCCACTCACTATAATGGGTTAGCACAGAAAAGATGTTGTCCATAGCAGTAACAGCACTTGTCTTCTCATCATCACTTGCCTCACACGGCTCTTCACTCTCCAATTCTGCATGTCATAAAGCTCTAACAAATCAGTAAATACCAAACAGAGCCCCAAACCACTAGAACAATAACTCAGCAAGAATTACACACATTGAGCCCAGACAAAATGGGCCATAAAAAACAAGCCTTAAACATCCCTAATTATAAACTCCTGTCATTATGATTGAACTTCCTTAACCAGTAGCGTTAAAATAAAAACGAATCCATAGGCATTTACAACCTGATTAACTTGACCTTTTAGGCCTGAGATTTGAACAATAGATCAAATCTGTCAAACGCGTCTCATAATTTGTTAGCAATTTATATCCATTGATTTAATTTTCATTTACTCCGTTTTGTTCCCTGAACCGGGAAACAAATGGGCTATGAAAGGTGAGTCCAAACACGCTCTTAATTCAATTTCAAGGAGATTTGCATGAAAAGTCACAATAGTTTATCAGATTAACAGTTTCTTATTTTCTAATTAAAAAAACTGGAATGTCAGACAGGTAATTAATTAACCAATTAGCTACGTAACTAGTAATTACCAGAGTAGGACAAGCAATGAATGAACATAAAGCATTCACTTCAACGCTCAAAAACTGAAAAAAGTAAATAAAAAAAACAAAACCTCTGACATCACGTTCCAACACTTGATTCAACGAACAAACGCGACCAAGTTCCGTCAACGAATCAGAGCACACCTCCTTCCGACAGCACCCGAACCCAAAATCCCGCGAACCAGATCCATCCTGCGACAAACCCTTCCCCTGAAGCGGAACCTGAACGGCGACGAAGTGAACGACGGCACCACCGTCTCTGCTGAAAACGGGGCAAACACGAAAGAGCATCCAAAACGGCGTGCCGTCCTTTCGGTAGTTAAGCAAAACGACCTGCGCGTTTCGTTCCTCGCGAACGGCCTCTCGAATCTCCATGACGGACCTTCTAGAAGTTCGCGGGCCCTGAAACATGGACCCACTCCGGCCCAATACTTCATGGCGCGTGTAGCCCGTCATCTTGAGGAAGTCAAGGCTAGCGAAGACGATAGGGTGGCCCGGGATAGAAGGGTCGGTGATGATGAAGTTATGACGCAACTCGTCGAGCGAGTCGCGCGCGTCCCGCGAGTAACGATCGTCGAAGGATCGGTCTATTAACGCGCGTTGCTCCATCGTGGGATTTTCTAGAAGCTTCAATTCTTCTCCTCTTGCTTCTTCTAGGGGTTGTTCCCAATCCCATGTGAACTCTTTGGGCTCTGGCAGAAACACTGCTAGTACTAGCTTTGCGAAGTGTTGGAAGCAATAGTGTTTGAAGAGAGTAAAGGAAAAGGGGTTAGCATTGTGGGAAAGGGGTTTGAAGAGAGTGGGATTGAGAGGAGGGATAGATGTTGTTGATGATGATGATGGCCATGAATTAATTAACTGGTTTAGTGCGGTTTGAGGGAAGGAAAATGAAAGGGGAATTATGAGTTTCCAACTCCGCGGAGAAGACGACACAGATTGTCACTACCAAGTGGAAGGAGTTGAGGGACGCAGGAATTCACTGCTGCAAGCAGCAAACTTGAGTCACACAAATTCCTAGATTTTTTTTTGGTTCCACTTTTTTATATTCTGCATGAAAGAATAGGATCATTCCTTCAAATAATTTCTAACAACATTTTTTATAATATTTTTACTTCTTTCCTTGTTCATCTTCTTTTTCGTCTCTTCTGATCTTACTAAAAATTAATAATAAATAAAAAATAAATCATTTTTATTGAAATTTTAAATTAATTCCTAAAAAATAAACAATTCTTTATTTTAGTCTTTAAAATTACATTTTATTGTTTATTTTAATATTTTTACTAAATTTATTAATTTTTTTAACATAAATAAAATATAATATATGTTAAAATGTCCTACAGCTAATTAAGAATAGAGCCCGCATACTCTCTGCAAGCACCTGTACAGTACTCTTTTGAGTTAATTTTTGAAAGTGATTTAGTAATTTTATATTGTAATATTTTTATTTGCATAACTAATAAAACATTAGTGTACCATTTTATGTATTGCATTATTATATCTACGATAATTAATTACTAAATTTTAATATAAAAGTTAAAACGAATGACAAATCAAAATTTAAAAATTAATTTTAATATTTTCTTAAACATCAAATTAAAGAAGTTTAAGGATTTGTTTGATTTAGTTTTGATTTTTAATTTTAAAAATTAAAATTTTAAATAATTTTATAAAACTGTTTAGAAAAATAAAATAAAATAAATTTTGTTTGATAGCTTAGTTTTTAAAACTATTTTTAGTTAGACTTTTGTTAGTTTTAAAAAGAAAAACAGAAAAATAAAAGCAAAAAGGCCTGAATAATAATTCTGTTTTTCAGTTTTAAAAACTAAAAATAAAAATTAATTTTCAAAAATAATTTTTAAAACTTACATTAATAAGAAAGTTTTTTTATTTTTTAATTTTAAAAACTAAAAATTTTATTTAAAAAGAGAAAATAAACAAGCTCTAAATGTTTTAGTCCTTAATTGTCTTTTTCTATGATAAAAATAAAATGTAGTACACTTTAATTCAATTAAAGTAAATAAGTAAAAACAAACCTCATGATAATATAACAATGCTTAGATGCTAACGTACGATTTTGGTTTTTAGGAATGTATACTTGTACATTCAATTCTTCTGAATTAAGTTGTACGATTCATTTAAGTGTGGACAAAAGAAGACACTTTCTATGTGAGTTCATCAAATTGCATAAAGATATTTTTTCTCCAATTACCTGCATGAGGTGAAGTAAATGGACCAATGAAGCAGCGTGTACTACGCAAAGGGATCTGAAAATGGCTAGGCAAAGCCGCAACCACACATTTGCCATGTATTGATTTTGGATGTAGAATGGGCAAGTTAGGGTACATTTTTGCTTTGCCATCAATCATTATCCATTAGTAGCCAAGATTGTTTCCATTGGGTACAGATTAACAGCGACGATTTTGAATTTGCAAATGAAAGAGGGGAAATAAGAAAGCAATCGAAAGCCACAAGTCGTTGAGGTCAGTCACTGTTACATAACGTTGGCCCATTTATCCAAACAGTATCGTCAATGGTGATTGATGGTAACTCACCAGAACAAACAGCAGTCAAAAATAAGTTATTTGCATAAATGTAAAAGAATTAAATGAAATGAATTAGTTCATAAATCCACGAACCTGAATTTAGGTGAAATGGTGTGAGCGAGAGAGTTTCGATGTGGTTGGATAAAGACAGGCAAAGAAATCAAAACGTGCAACTAAATGGTAGCCTTTACCCTATTCTTATCCAATCCGCGTCATCACCTAGTAGGCATATTTTTGTGCTAACGTGCGTGTTTCTCTTTTATTAAGACAACAGTAGTTAGGGTTCTTGGGATCGTGGCGCAGCTAAACGGCTACTACTATACTGTACGTGGCTTGGGTTTGGACTCTTCCGGGTGTTGGAATTGCTATTTTTACTTTTTTATTATTTATTTTTGGAATTTAACTTTTAATTGTATATTTTTCTGAAGTTAAATTTAAAAATCATTTCTAAATAATTTTATATTTTTACAAAATAATAACAAAATTAAATAGATTTTATTTTTTAGTTAAAGTGAATTATTCGTTTAAATTTCACGTAGGAGCACGGATAGGGAACAAGGAAAGTGCTCAAGGGAGCTTCATTATGTGTCATGAAGTGAATGCACTAATTATAGTAATTAATTTCTTATGACAAGGCCTATAATTACAAAATAGAACAAACCACTTCAAGCAAGTTGCGTGTTTTACGACAGAACAAAGGAAAATCCTGAAATCTAACTTGCTAAGCATTGAAATAGGATATCCCACCGTGACTTTCAATTGTTGATGGGGACAAGAAGTCAAGTGAAGTAAAATATAAGTTCTTTTTATAAATATTTTATAAGTTTCATTTTTTTTAATCTTAAATTGGAATATATTTAGGCCTTATGTTTTATTAAGAAGTATATTACCATTTTAGACCTTTATAGAATGTTAATTGTATTGCTCCTTATGGTTAGTAGACATTATCAACAATTTAACATAAATGTTAACATTATATATGTTAAGTATTAATTTGGCACATTCAATGGTAGCGTATTTTTTTAGATATAATGGGCTATACTATAGGGGAATTAATGGTTGGTATGTTAATGTGGTTTGAAAAAATGTGGAAGAACATCTAAAATGGTGGCCTGTCCCATTAGACCATTTTATAGCTGCCCTAAGTGCAAGATGGCCATTGTGTGTTTTGTTTTTGAAGTGAAATTTGGTTTTAAGAGTTTTGTAGCCTTTGAGTAGTTCTTAGAGCAATCGTCAAAATGGTCAGATCAACGGGTAGAGCTCAAAAAGTTGAAACAATGTATATAGGGTCTAGTTAGCTCGATGAAATGTTGAAACATTAATATACTTTTCATGAAATTATATTTGTGTTTGGCATAAATATTAATCTTTATGATTTACGTATCAAGATATTTAAAATAAAATTTCCATTGCACGTAATATAATTACTCTGCCAATAAAACGGTATTTAAAAAGATCTGTATATTATATTATATAAATAATCATTCAAAAGTAAAATATGAAAAAAGTTTTAAGCCAAATTGAATTCTTACAATAAGTTTTCATTTTACTTTTAAAATAATTATTACACAAATTGAATAATTTGTCAAAAACTTGTAGTGCATGAGCACGAGACTGCGTTCGAGAGAACGTTCCCACTGATCACAATTGAAACTTTGAACACCGAATTCCTCTCGCCATCTCTTCGCGCCAACGTTCGATCCTTCATCAGGTAACCTTCAAATCAATTATCCATTTGATATTCACTTTCTGTTTGTTCCGATTCCACTTGCACATTTTCACTCTCATTTTGCTCAATTCTGCTAAAATCCGTTGCGTTACCGCGTTGCGATTCGGCAATGTGAATGATAGCCTCGTTCTTCGCTGAAATTGGATCGTTTGAATTTGCAGACAATATATTTTTGGAATTTTTTTTGGTGGCGGAATGAATTTCTTGATCCGGTCTACCTCGGGCTTGTACTCAGAGCGTTCACCGATTCCGGTTCCGGTGCCTCGCGCTGATACACATCATAGGTCTGCATCTGCTGGATCTTCTTTGGGGATTCTTATGTCTGATGATCCATATGCATGGTATGATGCTAAGGTTGATTCTGGCGTGAATTTGAAACATGACTTGCCTGTTCTGGTAGATAAGCACGTAGATGTTGCTGAGGAAGAAGGATGGATAACCGTTCCTTGCAGTAAGTCTTCACTCCAGCAATAATTTTCTAGCTCGTTTGGGTTCTTTGATTTTTTTTATTTTTTATTTTTTTTGCGTGGCCAAAGAATTATGTTTGAACTTTTTGAATAAGGGCAAACAAACTCTTGTCGTGATTGTTAGTGAAAAATGGGAGGAACCCGTAAAAGGGGTTGGTAAATTTTAAAAATCATTGGGATGGCAAGAATATAATCCAACACATAGAATTAATGTAAAATTGATATAAAATAAATAAAAACCTTAAATTGCAAGAGAGAACTTGTGGTTTAAAAGCGAGCATTAATCATTGTGAACAAAATTTGCTAAAGTTTGTCTAATTATTATGGTATTTCTAAAAGTAAAAGCTAATTATAAAATAAAACTAAAAATGCCCATGTAGTGTTTAACATGGATGTGTATTTGGCATGACTACTATTTAGAAATGTTTGCGTGTCTTAGTATTAGATGTAAGCTTACTATAGATGCATAAATTTCAAAATGCTAGGTTGTAATTGCAGAAGGTTGCAAGTACTATGAACAGGATATCAGCTTTAAGCTGAAATCTGAGTAAAGATTTTGTGTGTGAAGACATTGTTGCCATTTTTAACAAGTCATCAATGTTGAGTATTCTGTTGCATTACACCCAAGTTGGTTCTTAAATCACTAGCCTGTTCATGGTGGAATATATTTACTCTTATTTTTTAGTGGAAGAAGATATAAGTTATGAAATATTTTTCATGTTGTTAAGCATAAAATGAAAGAAAGACTTAATCCTCACCCTTTCTGGATGCAAGCCTTCACGTTACTGGTGCAAGTACTTGATTAGCGGGGAATTGAGTTGATATTAGATGGGGTATTTCTTGAGTTATTAGGGAAAGTAGGATTATGTCCTATGAAGCATGGATTCTGACACAAATATTGGACACTCTGACATGGTTAACATGTTAAATATAGGACTCCAGGACAACACACACATATATAATTTCAAAAGAATATTACAAGATGTTATTTTTCAATGTAAGCACTTGGTCTATTTACAAAAATATCTCAAAACAAGATAAAATTAAATCATATTCTCCTTCTCAAATAAATATACTAAGTTCTATATTTTTTTTCTATGATAACTAGCCTTACAAAAAAGAAATAGAAGATTTTTAAATATTTTACATTAAAATTTAAACTAAGTTTTTAAAAAAAAAGTTAAAATAAAGAATTTTATAATTGTAATTGTGTATGGACATCTATACTCAAGTATCGGCTCAAGTGTCCGAGTTGTATAGAAGTGTAGGTCAGGCGTCCAAGCTGATAAAAGATAATTTTTTAATTAGATAACTAATAAAGAGTGTCTAACACATCTGAACAAGTGTCAGTGTCGAAAACATGTCTAACACTGCAACATAGATTGTGTCAATTGTCGCTTCTCTTCTAAGTCTATAAGCATTTTGCTAATTTTGTTTGTTATATGCTTAGCACAGGACTGAAATCATAATCATAGCATGATTTTCTTTAGCATTCAGTTCAGTGGTAGAGCTAAGCAGAATGATTTCTTTTAAGTCTTTTCTCACATGTGTGATGTTATGGCCTGATTGTTCCGTATATATAATATGATACACCAACTTATCAATTTCCTTTTTGCAGAGGAGCTTCCTGAAAACTGGAATTGTGCACCGGATATACAGTCTCTGCGCTCTCTTGATCGTTCTTTTCTTTTTCCTGGTAACAGATTGTTTCATTTTTTGAATATGTTAATCTCAGTTTTGACAAATGTAATTTGGTCAGCTGGCTTCCACAAAAGTTAAGCAGACCTAATTTATACCTGTAATTCAGGTGAACAAGTTCATATCTTGGCATGCTTGTCTGCATGTGAGCAGGATACCCAGAGTATTTCTCCATTCAAAGTTGCTGCAGTGACGAGTAAGAATGACATAGGTCACAGTCTTGAGAAAGAAATTGAAAACACTGAAAACAGAAATAATTCAGTGTCTGGAGAAGGGGAACTGGGTACCAGTGGGGAAGTGCAGCTGGAGGATGTTTCTGATGGTGAATCCCTTCTTCAAATGGAGATTCTTGAAAAGAAAACAGCATTATTGTTGCAAAAATTTGAAAATTCTCACTTCTTTGTGAGGATTTCTGAGTCTGATGAGTCCCTTTGGTCCAAAAGAAACTCTTCAGAAAAAAATTCAACCTCTTTTGATGCAAATAATGGAAAGGCCTCAACCATAAAATTTAAGGAGACTGCATTGTCTTCAATTAGTGCAGTAATTGATAGAGGAAATTTTGATGCAACTTTTTCTGGGGGAGTGGTGAGAAATTCTGTCAAGTGTTGTGCTTTACCTAATGGAGACATAGTGGTATGTGCCATAAAACTCATAAAATATGATAGTGCATTTAATTGATCTAAAATTGGTAAGGAGAGACAAGGATGTTTTGCCTGTTTTGATCTTAAAGTTCTGCTGTCAGATAAAGTACTTTTGTCCATTAAATTTGGGACCAATCCATATAAGGTCTGTGCTTCTTCCCCTTTGATTGACTAGATTTCCCCATTATTTCAACACATGCACGCAAGTAGCTTGACCTATGCTTTTTTTTATAACATACTATCATTTTTCCTTTCAAGATAGGAAATCTATGTTGAATTTGTGATATATAAGGAAAAAAACAAATAAATTGTATTACTGGTAGCTGGGTGGTAGGGAGGGTGCTATGATTATGGAGCTCTTATGTAGTTAGCATTTTTGTGAATGGCTCAAATTCATCAATTATAATTTCAACACTTACCTAAATTTTTTTATCTATTTTGGCCTAGTTAGTTTGTTTAATGCAGTTATGACATCACCTGTGGTTGTAATTCATGCTGTTCTGTTCCTAATTAAAATCATGTCAAAGGTTCAATTTCTGTTAGTGATCCTTCATTTGTAGGTCATATGTTATTAGTCTGTAAGCACTCACCAAGTTATGTGGCATTTATTGAAGAACCACATTCTTGTGGCTTGCATCATGTTTTGGGAACCAAATTTATCTTATGGAAGAGCCAGTCCACGTGTTAGAGTCAAACACCACCTCTTTTTGTACATTATTCACGATTCTTAATTTATTAGGTAAATTGACCTCGTTTTTGGGTGAAAGTTAAAGATGATATAATTCTAGTTGGGAGCATTAGAGAGAAAATAATATGAAGTTAAAGATATTGAGACAAGCTTTGGAAGCTCATGGCTTTCTCTTAAGTAGAAGTAAAATAATGTATATGAAACGTAAGTTGTGCAACAATCCTAGTTAGAGGTAAAACTTGGAGAAAATACTTCACCTCAAATCACACAGTTTTTAAGGCCCATCATATCATATAGAACAACGAAGAAATAAGGGGAGATGTGAACTATAGCATTCAAGTAGGAAGGATCAAATGAAGGAGGGCTTGGGGTGTTATATTATATGTTACAAAAAAGTAATACTCAAGCTCAGAGGAAAATTTTACCACATAATATGACATTGTATGGAATTGAATGTTGGACAGTTAAAAACAAACAAGACTACAAAAGAATAAATTCAATGTAGAAGAGATTAGAATATTGTGTTGGATGATTATAAATCAGATATAAAAGGATTAGGAATAAATACATTAGAGAAAAAGTTGGGGTAGTATGCGACACTGCAATTCAAGTTACTTGTTCATCTTGTTAGTGTTAGTGAAACATGGAGATTTGGGAATCTTACAGAAAAAGATGCAAAGTTTTAGTTCATCTGGATGAGATTGTGCAACGAGTTTATTGCATGCTCTGCTTTGATTAACTTATTTTTTATGTTGCTCAGTTTATTGATTGAATTTAGTTTTAGGATGCAGGTTCTTTTACAGGTGAATGTTGGTGTTAATTGTCTTAGAGATCCTTGTATAGAAATTCTCCAATTTGGGAAGTGCCAAGAGAGAGTGCCATTTCCTAACAACAAGGTGGATGCAGTTTATACAAATCAGGATCCATGTGCAGAACTGTTAAATTGGATAATTCCATTGGATAATGGGAAGCCTCCTAATCGCCCGCTATCTCCTCCTCATTTAACTTCAAATTCAGGAATTGGCAGCACCTCTCAGAGATCTAATTCTGCATCATCTAGCTCTCAGTTATTCTCCTTTGGCAATTTCAGAAGTTACTCCATGTCATCAATACCTCAAAATAAAATCACTCCGGCTGCTCCTGTTAAAGCAGCTAGTTCTAAGCCAAATTTTGACCTTGAGGATTGGGATCAAATCTCATCTCAGAAAATTTTATGGAAAAAAACTTCATTGGAAGGACTTCTATCATTTCGAGGTGTCTCGTTGGAGCAGGATAGATTTTCTGTTTGCTGTGGATTAGAAGGCATTTATAGACCAGGACGAAGGTGGAGAAGGAAACTTGAAATAATACAACCTGTAGACATTCATTCTTTTGTTGCTGACTTCAATTCAAAGGATATTCTTTGTGTTCAGATAAAGGTTTGAACTATGATGTCATCAATCAAATTATTTGACAATTTTTCTGGTCTATTGTGTCATAAATCACTATCCCAAATGCTTAAGTTATTAAGTGAATACATATTGATGGTTTTATGTTATGTTATATATATAGGGGCGGGGATTGGGAATTGGGGGAGGGAAGTTAGGGATGTGGTTTATGCACATGGCAGGATTATCCAGTCCCTGACATACCATGTCCTTTTAGCTTACCACTAAGCTATCAAGAGAGGAACAATGCATGGGACCATCTACCTTACGTAGACCACTTGATCATCAGAACTCTTTTACCATATCATGAACCAATTATCTCAAAAGCTTAAACTGTGAATTGAATGTACGATTTTATGTCACGTTTCGAATATTGTATAGTCTTTTGCATACTTCTCTTTTGGGCCTTTCTATTGATACCTATTTTATCAGTTATGCTTTTATTAATATTTCTTAAGTTGTTCACCAGAATGTTGCTCCTGCACATGCTCCAGATATTGTCTTATTTATAGATGCCATAACTATTGTTTTCGAGGAGTCAACAAAAAATGGAACACTATCATCATTACCAATTTCATGTATTGAAGCTGGAAGTGATCATTCTTTACCAAATCTAGCCCTCAGGTTATTTTCCCGAATAAATATCTTAATATTGTTCATAACTTTCTATCATTACTTATGTCATGGCTGATCTTTATACTTGGCAACTCAACCCCTCCCCCCCCTTCTGAAAAACAAACCCTGCAAAAGAGGGGAAGGGGAGGTTTCAAATGGAATGTTCCAAGTATTTGGGTTCAATATGCACTTACGAAAACCAAAACTCTTGACTTGGCATCATATAAGTTTTACCTAAAGAAGCTTATTTACTGGTTAGCATCATCTTTTTCTATGGTTATAAGGTTGTCTTTTATATTAATACCTAACCATTTAGTAGAAGATTGTAAAATGATTTCTTCTTGATTTTTAGAGAGGAAATTTGTATTTTTTGCTAGTTGCAGCAAACTAGCTGTTAGACAACTTCATGGCTTAACTCATGTTTTATTAATTTTGACACAATTTATTGGAATTATTTGTGGAAGTGTTTTAGGATGAGATTAGAAGTAATTATTGAGTAGAGGGAAAAGAATGAAAAAGAAGAGAAGTAGGAGTTACCTTCCTATTTGAATTTTTAATGAAGAAAGCAAAAGAAATATTACTTTCCTTGTTTGAGTGTGTTGATTGAAACAGAAAAGGAAGTGGTAGAGTTACAGATGTATAATTTCATTCTAATCTTTGAAGGTTTTGGGATAAAAAGTCCTTTTGGATAGTGGTAACTTTTAATTAATAACTAAGAACTTGTAATTCTCAATTTTAAGTGATTTCAATTTTACTATGTAACTTCTTATTTGATCTGACAGATTGGTGAGTAGTTGGAAGATATAGAAAAGGCTATAAAACAAACAATGAAGAGGATAATATTGTAAAATTCTAAAAGGTTTTAAAAGGGATATTAAATTTCCACCAATCCATTTTCCCTTGTTCTATAAATCTTCCAAACACAAGTATGGTGCTTCTTTCCTACCCTGACCCTTCTTTCCAAACATCCCTATGGCACCTTCTGTCTATATTTAATGTGGCAGGGTTTTCAGTTGAAAAAACATAGGTTTTAGGTTATGGATTGCACGAGGAAAAAGGTAATGATGTAAACTTAACAACTAGATAGTTTTGCACAGGGCTTATGACGTGGGAGAGTGAGGAAAGACAGGCATTTGAGTTGTCTCTTGCTATTTCGTTATCGGGACTAAGGTAGAACTTTTCTCCATTTGTGGGGAGAGCCTTGGCTTTGGGGTGGTGGATCCTTCCAGAGAAATCCTTATTCTCTGTATCCAGTGTTCCCTTTTTCTTTTGTAATTCAATAATACATGCAACTTCATTGTTGAAGTTGTCTTTTCCTAGTTACTATTTTAGCGAGAGTATCAAAACATGATTAATATTTAAATGGAACAGAAGAAGGAAAATTTTAAATTTTAGACCTAGTGTATATGAGGGGGTAACTAAATGTGTGGGAATGAACTTCTTAAGACATGTCTAAGGATTTTCTTATAGAGATAGACTTACATTAACACATCTAAGAATTTTCCTATAGAGATAGACTAGCTTCTTGAGGCACATCAAAGCACTCATTAGTAATGATATCTCTGTGTAAAATCTTTTCTCTAATAGTGTATCTCAATATTTTAGTTTTTTCGTGAAAGACTAGATTTGAGACAATATATAAAATCGTTTGATTATCACAAATAAGTGTTATATGTATAATCTCACCAAAATTCAGTTTTTTGAGCAATTGTTTGAGTCAAATAAACTTACAAGTGTCTAGTTGAAGTCATGACTTAATACTGTTTTTACACTAAATTTTGCAACTATATTGTCTCTTACTTTTTTAAAAAAAAATAGGTCTCCCCTAATAAAGATGCAATAATCAGAAGTGGACCACCTTTAGGGGATGAGCTTGCCCATTCTAGATTTGAATAATCCATAACTTTGGTATAATATTTATTTTCATATAAGAGACCTTTACCTCGAATTTCTTTAGTATATTTTAGAATGTAAATTACTATATTCCAATGCCTTTCATGTGAAGAATTAAAGAACTAACTTACCCATTAACTTCAAAGGGAGATGTTTGGATGAATAACAGTTAGATAGTTTAGTTTCCTAACTAATCTTGTATATCAACTCTAGATCTAAAAGAGGTTCTCCTTGTCCAGTTAGAAGTTTACATTAGAATCCATAATAGTATCAACAAGTTTATCCCCGTCAATCATGTTTTCTCTAGGATGTTCATTGCATACCTTATTTGAAAAAATCACAATACTACTTTCAGATTATGTCATTTTTAATAAGTACAGTAGTTGGCCAATTTCTTTGGCTGAAAGTGCTGATAAAGGTGCTTCTTTATTCATCCAAATTATCCAATGCTATGGTGAGGTGATAACTTCTTGTAAAGACAATGTCATCTTGGTACCCAATCAAGTAAATATATATCTTGTAGCTAAATGACAAAAGAATACAGAGTAATTAACTTGACTGAGTCATATCAAACTATTGGACTATAGTACTAAATCTATCAATCATGCCTGCCATAATTGTTTGAGACCATATAGTGATTTTCTGAGATAACAGACAAACTATTAATATAAGAGTGATTACAATTACACACTAGAATATACATAGTTACTTAATAAATATTATTACAAGAATAAAATTTGTCTTATTACTATACTTACATATTCTAATAGTACATGTTGCATGTGTGTTACTGATAGAACTAGTTCAGTTACTTGTTAATAATGAAGTATGCAAGGGTGCATAAATTTTCCAAAAAATACCTTCAAGAATAATGTTTTTATCATGTTTTTGACAAAAAAAAAAAAGTATCAACTCAAGACAGGGAAGGCAATGTTTGTTTCTTGAATGCCTGAATTTGTATCCTTTTGTTGTTGTTGTTGTTGTAGTAGAAATCAATCTGATTAGCTGTTATAAAAATAAGGGAAGAGAACTAAATATGATTTGTTAAATTCAGAATTTGGTTTATGTAATTAGCTCTAATAATCTTCTGTCATCTTATTAGAAGTTTCTAACTACAGGAGAGGTGAAGAACATTCTTTTATTCTTAAACCAACAACTTCTACGTGGAAGGGTCTCAAGGTTGAGGATGATAAAAGCTCCCAATTGTCAAAGTTGCAGTTACGAAATCAAAAATCAAAAATAAGTCTTGACAAAAGGAAGACTGCTTTAATTAATGATCAGTATTCAATTATGGTGTCATGTCGATGCAATTATACAGGTAGCCTTTTTGCCCTCCTTGGTCTATTGTTGTGCTGTCTAATGAATGTAAGGTGTTAATTAGTTTTTCCCATGTTTTTTTCACTTAGCCTAGGATCAAGGTTGTTCTTTAAGCAACCAACTAGTTGGCGACCACATTGCTCAAGGGACATTAAGATCTCCGTTGCATCAGAAAAGTTAGAACAGTCTCTGGGAGCTTATGGAAAAGCTTACCAACTTCCTGTGCAGGTTAATATTTGTTTAACTGTTATCTAACTCAAATTAAGATTTTTCATGGGAGCTCATATAATTTTGTTTGATTATTTTCCTACAGAAATTATGATTACTTTTACACTGCCTTCGTCAGCAATCATGATTAATTTAACCTAGTTGATTTAATTTCATCAGATGTTAACTCTTCAAGCTTCAAATTTGACATCTGAAGAGCTAACTTTGACAGTGCTTGCTCCAGCCTCATTTACTACACCCCCTTCAGTAGTTTCCCTGAATTCACCAACGACTCCATTGAGTCCTTTTATTGGTTTCTCTGAGTTTTTAGGAAGAGTTAATGGTGAAAGAGGTGCTGGTGCCACCCAGGGACAAAGTTTCACTTCTATTGTAAAAGATAATGAGAAACAAAGTTATGATGGCAAAGCTCAAGCAGTTTCCATGAGCGATGATGTTATTCCTAGTTCTGGTCTTAGTTGTACACATCTATGGCTGCAGAGTAGAGTTCCACTAGGGTAAGGTATCAAATCTCTTTTATCTGTGTAAATTGTGTTTAGACTAGTAGTGATTGATCGAAACCATGTGTGGGCCACATCAGATGCATTCCACCTCAATCCATTGCCACTGTCAAGCTTGAATTACTTCCATTGACCGATGGGTTAATTGTGCTGGACTCTTTGCAAATTGATGTCAAGGAAAAAGGTATAGATTGCTGTACTTCTTGACCATGTTTTACTTCTTAACTGCATGTTTGAGCATCTATATAAAGAAATATTTGGTCATGGAAAGGTGAACTGCTGCCTAGAGATCTGTTACTTGTATGATTGTCATGGTTATTTTAAAGTATCACTCATCAGCATAATAATAAAGTTGCAACTTGCAACTAAAACATAGCACCTTTAAGTCATTCATGTTCTAAGGTATTGTGTTGGCTTCCACTAGCTACAATATATCTTTTACAACTGCCCATTTTATATTTCTAGTTCTGCTGCCTGCAAGTAGTCATTTGTTTCCACCATCATCCCTTAAGGTATTTTCATATGACGAGCATATTTTCTTGCATATGTACCACTGATAAGTGTGAACTATGTACACAAAGAACTTTGGTTTATTTTGTACATTCTGTTATATTCATCATTGGAAAGAGTTTTCTTCTCTGCAAATAGTCAACTGACAGCCAGTCATGATGCAAAGCCAATTTAATATAGCTCAGGTTCTTACATATTTACATTCTGTTGTAACAGGTGTTACCTATATTCCTGAGTGCGCACTAAAGATAAGTGCAACTTCCACTATTTCCTAGTAGATTGTTTAGAATGCACGTATAGCCGGTTGCATTTTTCTCGAGTGGGGTAGAAACAAAAATAGATGATTTGCATACCTAAATTTGAGTTTCTCTTACAACTAACTCTTACTGGCACAAAACGGATGATTTGTTTTCCTGGACTTTGGAACTGATCTTGAGACTGGTGGTCAATAGCACAAAATTTATCTTCTGTTTGTCAGTTTAGAATTGTGATGAAGTTGGCATGTCAATTTGTATTAAATATAGTTTCACTTTTGCACTGTAATTTGTAAATCACGAGCTTAAATAGATGCTTGTTACATACTCCTTTAATGGAAGAATGTAATCTTTATAGATTTTCTACCCAAACTATCCTCGTTTTAAGTATTACCCTTTTCAGGGCGGACAAAGATACCATAGGTTTCAGGGCGGCATTTCACGCATATAAACAACATAATGGAAAAATCAATTTTGTTCTCTTTGGTTCTACCTTTTCCACATAACCAGAGTGTTTCACTTAATTTTTGTCCTGCTCCATTTTATTTTCAAAAAGCACCAAGCATAGAAAAGAATCCATATGTTACCTGGATACCAAATGTTACCTTGGCATGCGAGCATAGCAAAATGAAATGTTTTGTTTTGTTGTATTTTCTTTTATTTTATTCTTTTGAATAAAATAACAAAAAAACAATAGTTTAATCTAATGTCCTATTCTTTTATTTCAAAATACACGAAATATAAAAAATAACTCGCATGTTAAGTCGTCGTTGTATTACTGCACAAATACTACTTTTTAAGTGTGTTTTTATAGTAAATTGGAGGGGCAAAAGCCTCTAAACAACAGCTACAAAACGGTGTCCAGAGAGTCCACACTGTCTTCAAGCAAGAGATCCATAGCCATCAGGGACAACTCAAGATTGTAAGGGAGAGTGTGTGTGAAGCAAAGCCATAAAATCTGCCACATTGTTCCACTCAGGATATTAATCATGAAAAAGATGCACTAAAGTTCTACACTTCAAGTTGATCCACTCAAGCCTTTATCGTCATACACTTGCCGCATTGTCGCCACAAAAACTGTTTTTGCTTATACTATTCTTTTATAGAGGATTGATTATGTCAATAATATTATTCTGCATTGACTACACCAGTTCTGCACTTAACACTATCACCCTTAGACGTGGGAAAATTTGATAAAATTTCCGTTTCTCTCGGGAAGGTTATTAATTCAGGAGAGAATTATGACACTGAACCAACAGAGCTCTACACCATGAATGGGTTGACACTAAAGAAAATAGCAAAAGACAGCTATAGAAAATATTGTTTGTCAAGAGGATCGACATAGACAAACCAAAAACGGTTACCGTATTTTAACTTTTTTTGTCAAATTTGATAATTACAACACTTTGTTAAATTAGTAGCTATAACTAACTAATAAATAAAGGGTATTTTATATAAAAAAAAATTAAAAGTAATAATAAACATTTTAGAGTGATAATAGACTCATCCTTCATTGGGGAAAATCTTCCTTTTGATTTTTAACAAGCTAATTGATTCTTATGCACCTATACTGAGACGTTAATTGCTGAATGAAGAAGGCATTTAGATACACAATTTATTTAAATGCTTATTCAATAAACCACTTTTAAAACAACTTATTTAATAATTAATAATTAGTTTTATCAAACTTAACTCTACTTAATTTTAAAATAAACAGTGCTGATTCGAATTCAACTTTGATTAGGTCCATTTATGGATAACAAACAAAATTGATTTACTTTAGCTGATAAAAAAACGTAACGTGCAGGGATAATATACCAGAGAAACAATAATTGAAGAAATGGTTAGTTGTTCATTTCAAATCAAAATATCAAATCAGAAGCACCTAAGTAAACCTCCATGCTCCACACTGATCCTTAAAGTCAAGCGTAATGCCTTATGCCAGCAAGCAATCTCTTAAATTTGGAAGCTGTCTCATATATTCTCCCTTTTACTCACTCCTATTCTTTTATATCTGTGTATCATTTACTACAACCTACACTTGAGACAAGTTTTAGGTTTCAAATTAAAATTTGGAAGTAACTGCTAACTTTGTGCCATATTTCGTTTTGCTAAATGAATACCATGCGAGAATGGATAAGAGGAGAGATGGAGAAAAAAAGGTAGCACGCTTGCCTTCTTTTTGCCTAATCAAAGCTTATCCTAATTATTTGTGTGGAAATGTTATATATGAATAACGAATTAATATTAGATGAAAGAAATATATTGTAATAAGTTTGAAGGATAAGTTTTGGAGATGTGTTTATAAAGAAAAATACTTATTGTATTTCAAATACCAATTATCTGATACTTTTTAAGTATACTGTATGCATCTTTTTCAGATTCATGGTATCTATCCTGAACATTATCCTTATTACTTAGATATTTAATGAGCTAATGCATAGGATGCTTTACGAGAAGCAATCATGCAAGTGTAGAGCATACTTAGAGATTAGTGTATAAACATAATGAATAAAGCTTTTAGAAGAGTATTGACTTTTGGTCTTGTTTAGTGCACAAATTGCTTCTCTATTTATAGATTGGAGAAGATACTTAGAAGAGAAAACATATCAAATAGATATAACATTATTATTACAAATACATAAAGAAAAAATATTATAACAAAATAGCTTTAATATACACCTGATATAGTATTATACAAAGACACACAAAAAGTTACTTTAAATACGTAAGACACAATTCAAGGTTATTCTTTTTTGCTATTATTTGGATAGGATATGAAAAATACTTAAGACGAAAAGTATAAATAAATTAATTAATTCATTAGTGAAGTTTTTATTAAATTTAATTAATCTTTTATAAAGCACATTCTAAAATTTTGTAGTAATTTTTTATAAGATAGCTTATAAGTTTTATGAAACATTTATTATATATTTTTTCATTTGCTCTTAATAAATAGCAGTGGCGAGAAGTTAAATTAAAATTGAGAAAGGTAAAGGTTAACAGTGGAGTTAAGTTTGATGGTATTAAATGAAAGTACAATTATTATGTTATAATTTTTTTAAAAAAATAAAAACATTTAAATAAAAACACTAAATAAAATATAATAAAAGTATTGTAATTTTATTTAATTATTTTATATCTTTTTATTACAAATTTGTATACATCAATAATATATTAAATATTTATTATATTTTTATTAATTATTAGATAAAACTTTAAAGTAAAAGACTTAATTAAAGTAATTAAAAAACTAAAACCACGGATAAATTAAAATATGAAAATTTAAAAAAAGCCACAAGCATAAGAAATTGAACTTAATTATATTGGAAAGGCAGCACAGTATTGAAATACAAAATAGAATCAAGAGAACTATAAAGTATTTAACTAATATATTCTAATAATGGGATAATCTAAGATATACCCAATCCCATACTGCTAATAGGATACGGACGTGTGTTACATATGTTAAATAATTGTCTCAATTTCTTTATTTAGTTTGTAATCATCTTTATACCTATCAATACCCACCTTTCTCAAATCATAATGAAGCCAAATATTTTTAGTTGGATCTTTCTTAATGACACGATCATTCTACACAATCACTTTGCCCTGTTTTTTCTTATTTTTCTCTTCTCATTGCTCTGCTTGTTTGAGACTCCAGTACATCAAATGTAAGGTGGAAGTAGAACAGGAAAATAAACAAAATTTAAATTGAAGTTAAAAGAACAGAATAAATTTACATTTTTTTATAATTTATTTGTTTTAATAGTACATTCTTTAACAGATATTTTAAAGGTATTTATCAATATTTGTTAAAAATAATTAATAATTTATAAAAATTAAATTGAATAACGTTTAAATAAACGTAAATACGCAAAATCGTAAATGAAAATGCAAACAGAGTGTAAAACAGAGAAAGTAGAAAGAAAATAGTGGGTGATAACATGTACGAACATGCCAAATGCTACCGCTGAAGCTGACGCGAGTTTCGGCTGGCTTTTGCTACGGATGCTGAGGCAGCCACGTCAGCATCATGGATGGGTCCCACTTCTTCGGGCAGCTCAAACTCCTTCCCCTCTTCTTCGGGCAGCTGCAACTCCCTTTTCTAGTCTTTGATTCGATTAAAGAACAAAATTTTCGCTTTATTTTTTAATAAAAATTAATGAATAGTCATTATTATAATAACAATCAAAGAACAAGACAGAATCGACAATCCGAAGTGTGTATCGTAAGTGGTAAGTGTAAGTGTAAGAGTTGTCGTATTATCTGAATATTTAAATTTAAATACAAATATAAATATTAATATGAATCCTTTATTTAACTTATTTCCCAATATTTTGTTTAGCAACATTGTGTTTGTGTTGCAGAGGAGGACCCCATCTTTGAGCGGAGATTACTGAGTTCAGCTCAGGTGCTGTTCTCTCTGTTCTTTTTGCCCCTACTCTCTTCACTTTCCACTCTTCAATCCTTCAAGGGTTTTTACCCTTTTCTCTATATTTGGGTATTTTGATCTATTTAATGTGATCTGTTACACTTTCCTTTTTCCTGTTTTAATTTCTGGGTTCTTTGAGTTACCCGGTTATAAGGGGTTTTGTGGTGTAAAGTTGTGATTTTTAGGTTTTATTAGGGAATTTGGCATCTGGGGTTTTGGTAGTGGTTGCGGTGGTGGGAGGATAGGGCATTGAAGGGTGGGTGGTGTTTGGAATTCTGGGTGGTCTTGATGATATGTGGGTTTGGTTCTCTAGGTTTTGCTAGAGATGGGGTTGGGTGCTGAGAATGGTAAGGTTGTGGAGTCTTGGGATGTCTGTAAATCAAAGGGGAGGAAGAAGAAGAAGAAAGGAGATGAGGGAGTGGTGGAAGAGAGTGGGGCTGGGTGTTGGGTAAGGTTGAGGTTCATTGGGAGCTGCATTTCTTCAAGATCCAAGGTTGATAGCTCAGTGAGTGGCACCAGTACTCATTATGGTAATCACTGTTTCCTTGCAAATTTTATTATTGTTCTTATGATGATGTGCTTGGAGTTTTCATCTTTGTAAATGTGTTTGTGATATGATTTTGTTTGTGCATAAATGTCACTCGTTAGTCTTTTTTAGTAGTTTGTTTTAGCTTTTGGTTCTCTTGACAATTATTCCTTTGTGGACCTTGTGCACACCTGTTTTTATTTTTTCTTTTTTGGCAGTCTGATTGAAAATTAATATGATAAATAATGTGAAATGAAACACAAATACATGCTTAGAAAATAAGGGTGGCTGATTACGGGTGCTATGGCAGCTATTTTCAGGGCTCTAAACAAAGTCGAAAATGTAATTTAGATACTTAACAGTGAAAATTTTGAGCTTCTCAATTCATGTTTATTCCGAGCAGCAGTGGGTCACTTGGTCAATCCAAATGATATGCTAATGCATATGTAAGCTTTGTCACAAGAAAGCTTCCTTTAACTCCATGTGGTCTTCCAAGTTAACATAGTCAGAAACCAGAGTAAATTAAGATTTTATATTGGCTAGGAAATGCATAAGTGTCAAACTTGAAACTTTAGTCGATGTATGTAATTATCGTGAGATAAACTTGAGAGTAGATCTTAAAAACGAAGTTAGTCCAAATTACTGTTTAGAAATAACTGAATTTCAAACATATGCTGATTCATTAAGTTTTAAAATTACTCTTGAGGTGGTGCTTGTTTCCTCATCTATTTTAAAACCTATGCTGCATGATGCTATTTTACTGCTTGTCCTAATGTCTTTCTTTGTTTTTTAAATTTCTCACTTCTTGGCTTCCCATTAGCTGAAAGTAAATTCACTAATGATACAAGTAGAGACCAACCAACAGCTCCAGCAGTCTCTTCTACAACCACTAGTAATGCAGAAAGCAATTCATCCACTTCCAAACTTGAAGAGGAGCTTAAAATTGCTTCCAGGCTTCGAAAGTTCTCTTTCAATGATCTTAAGTTAGCTACAAGAAATTTTCGGCCTGAGAGTTTCCTTGGTGAAGGTGGGTTTGGTTGCGTTTTCAAGGGTTGGATTGAAGAAAATGGAACTGCTCCTGTGAAACCTGGCACAGGACTTACTGTTGCTGTAAAAACCCTCAACCATGATGGGCTCCAGGGTCATAAAGAATGGCTGGTCAGTATATTTTTAGAAGTCCTTTTCTTCTAATATTATTTACTGAATTCTATAATTTTAATGATCAATTCTTGTTTGGATCATGCAACAGGCTGAAGTAAATTTTCTTGGTGATCTAGTTCATCCAAACCTTGTAAAACTTGTAGGTTACTGCATTGAAGATGATCAAAGGTTACTAGTTTATGAGTTCATGCCTCGGGGTAGCTTGGAAAACCACTTATTCAGGAGTAAGTTACTATTTTCTATCTAATTAGTGGCCTCATTTTCTTTTTCAATAATAATAGTTGGACCAGTACTGCACCATGGGATTTTGATAACATCAAGAGCCCTGCTGGATGTCTCTTGTGAAGCATGTTCCTTCTTTACATAAAAGGGGTGACTTAGTGCGTGAGACTCCTGTCAAGTGGGGTCTAGAGAGGGTGGACATACACTACCTTATCAAGCAATGAGGTTGTTTCCAAGATTTGAACGCATGCCCTCCAAGTCACTATGCAATAATCTTTTTGCACCAAGCACCAAGGCTCACTCTCGTTCCTTCTCCACTAAAGCTAGATGAAATAAATTAACCATTTGGCATGAAAAAATATTTTCTCTACATTTGAGGGGAGAGAGGTGATACAATGTAGTACTCACTCAGTGATCTACCTATTTGAGAATAGTACATAAAACTAATATATACCATTATAATGACATTTCCATCACGTTTCATGTTACATTTAGCATTTTCTCTAACATGGTTAGATACTGGAACTTGAAACTATTTCTGTATATTTTATGTTTGGATATCCGTGTTTGATGTTGTCATGAAGAAATTATATTGTGTAGGATCCTTGCCTCTTCCATGGTCCATTAGAATGAAAATTGCACTAGGAGCTGCTAAGGGTCTTGCTTTTCTTCATGAAGAAGCTGAACGACCAGTAATATACAGGGATTTTAAAACATCAAATATACTGTTAGATGCTGTAAGTGTGAAAAACTACAATAAGATTACTTTTTCTTTTCTTTTTTGTTAGTCTAATATCATACCAACACAGGACTACAATGCCAAGCTCTCCGACTTTGGTCTTGCCAAAGATGGTCCAGAAGGTGACAAAACCCATGTGTCCACTCGAGTGATGGGAACCTATGGTTATGCAGCACCGGAATATGTCATGACAGGTAAGCTTAATTGGATATGGCAAGTCCAAATCTGTGACTTGTAGTTGTTATCTATCACTAAATTCACATATGCTTGCACTTCATTGCTATTTCTTTCTGATTATATTTTGTTGGGTATTTTTTTTTCCTCTGGAGTCATTAATTTTGTTATTGATAATCCCACATTTCTAAAAATTTCTTAACACAAAATTTGGATCTAATTCCCTGTGTGGCTGTTTCATCTTTTGCAACACACAATGTTCTTGACCTCTAATGTTAATTGTTTGTAGCCATATTTGTGATTAAGATCATAATTTACTGAAGAGTTGTCTATAATTTCTGTATGTAAAGTTCAGATGTGTTGATGGGTTTGATAAATTTTGTTGCATTCTCACCACCATTTTTATAACTTCTGGAGCTCTGGGTTCTATTATATTCTGCTGATAATTTTCAATTGTTTGTTCCAAATATTTTACAATATAATATAACATCTTTAATATCTAACTGCTTATATTCTATTGGTTTTGCTTGTGTGGCAGGTCATCTTACATCAAAAAGTGACGTGTACAGTTTTGGAGTGGTACTACTTGAGATGTTGACCGGCAGAAGATCTATGGACAAACACCGACCCAATGGTGAGCATAACCTTGTGGAATGGGCTCGACCACATCTTGGAGAGAGGAGAAGGTTCTACAGGCTGATCGACCCTCGTTTAGAAGGCCACTTTTCCATAAAAGGAGCTCAGAAAGCTGCCCAACTGGCTGCTCACTGCCTTAGTAGAGATCCAAAAGCCAGACCCCTCATGAGTGAAGTTGTAGAAGCTTTAAAGCCCCTTCCAAACCTTAAGGACATGGCAAGCTCTTCATACTATTTCCAAACAATTCAAGCTGACCGCTTTGGGATGAGTCCTAACACAAGAAATGGACGGACACAAGGAGCATTGCTAACCCGCAATGGACAGCAGCAAAGGAGCCTTTCAATACCAAATGGCACTTATGCATCTCCATATCACCATCAGTTTCCCCAACAATCACCAAAACCCAAAGGCAAAGCATAGAGCTGGTGAAATTTTTCTTTTTCTCTTTCACCCTTTTTCGCTTCTCCTTATTAATGTACCTTGTGTCAAAGCATTTGTTGATGGAGAACTTGAGAGCAAAAGAAGCGTGCTGCTTTGCTTTGTGATTTTATGTTATGGGTGTTGACTCCCTTTAGCTTGGATGAATGTGAGGTGAGAGCAGGTGAAGCTTATTGAGCTACTATGTCTATGTCAAATTGTCAACCAATATGTTTCTTTAGGTTGTTTGCAAATATTGAACACTATCAAATCCTCATCCTTGTTTTATTTTATTTTACCCATTTGTCACCGGAAATTTTATCTCTATTTATTTTGGCTTTGCTTGTGATATCACTCCCTGTTCCTCCTTAAATTTAATCACAGGCTTTTTTGTTTATAGAAAGATGAGAAAGAAGCTTTATTGCATTAATTTATAACAGTCATTTGTTCTCATATGATCCAGGAAATGATTCTTTATTTTATACTATAACTTATAAGAAGCAGTTTATACTTCATAGCACCTTCTAGTAGTTTAATAGTTATTTTATGCTTTAAAACTTTAATTCAAATCATTTGACCATGGATGCCGTTCATTCTTATCATTATTAATAAAATTAAAGTGTAAGATTATAGAGCGTGGTGAGGTTCAAGTGTAGGATAATATATTTTTGTTGGATCATGATAACAGGTTTTAAAAGCATTGTATAAAAAATAGAACAATTATTATGATTTACAATAAAAATAGATTGATAACAATAAATATTGTACGTTTATACTTTAAATTCTTTAATCAATTCTCTAACATTCTTTCGATAAAAAAAAATGTACTTAACATTCTCTTTTTATGTTTCATTTAATAATTGAAGGTATTTGGTAAAATAACTCGATGACATGGTAAGCATTGTCCTTGTTGAAAGTGATTTACGCCCGATAACAACGGTAGACGTGGAAATGATGTGCAATATAAAAGAGATTTTAGTCTGACTGAAATTAGTATATAGTTTTATTTATTGGACAAATTTTAGTCATATATTATAGCCGTTTTTAGTACTATTTTTTACGTGAGAGTAAAGTTTTATTTCAGTAACATGTACTAACTATTAATGTCAATTTTATTACATTAATTATATAAGTAAAATTTTAATTTAATTGGAAAATAATACTAAAAATATATATAACATTGCATTGACATATTATTTTTTTAATAAAGATCATGCACTGGCGCGTGAGAATTATTTTTGAGTTTTTATTAAAATTATAAAATAAATTTTACAGGGTTCTATGAAATGAGATAATATTCTATGCTTTCTTGTTTATGAAAAATACTTTTTTTATTTTTAAGATATTAAAGAATCGTAATGATAATTTTAAAATGTCAAATCTAAACTATTGCTAATCATTTTTTATTTCAGAAATTAGTGTAACGATAATGCTTCCAAGACACTGCCAACGGTGTAATCAGATAGCATAGGGGTTCTCCCTTATCCCATACGTAAAATTTTACGCTAAAAACAGGACACATTTTGAATTTGTTAGAATAGCTCTCTATTCCACATGCCAAGTGGCTATTGCATCTAATCTCATCCTTGTCATCATCACATTGCTAGTGAGAGTTCCGTGACACGCTTTGACGGTGGTACACAATACAAATCACCAAAAAGACAATTTATGTGGAATTTTTTAATATTTTCATATTATTTTTAATTAAATTAAAGTTTTATTTTGATAAAAAATTACATTTAATACTGTAACAAGGTGAAACTTCAAAAAATATACTTAAATATTATTTATCATGAAAATGGGGTGAAGTGACAAGTTGTTGCTTTGAAGAGAATCACTCAAACATAAAAACAAACACTCAAAGTGATGACATATACAATAATATCATCTATATCATATACGGGGCATTTCCAAATTGTATCGAAATAGACGATTATGCTCTTAACTAAGTATTTACTGCAGGGGGTCCGAAATTCTATTGAATTGCGACTATGCATGTTAATATCTAAACAAATTGGGTAAGAATATGGAATACCTTGTGATTTAGATAAACTTGGGATCCTATTACTTATTAAGCGACATAATGTGATCATTTTAGAGAGAGTGATATAATTTTCCTTAAACAATGATTCATTATGATTAATTATAAAATTCACTAATTAAATTTGATATCTTTTTATCTGACATGACCATATTATATTAGTTGATAATATGAAAGGATGCAAATTCGTGATTGGATATAAAAAAAAATGTAAAATCAATGGTTCTTACTTTTGGGGGTTTTTTGTGAGTGGAGAGTCTAACTTTAGAAAGTAGGATGTGAAGTTTTGCATCCAAATGCACTTCTTTTGCACATGATGAAGGAACTTCTTACCAGAAATTAGGTAAACATCATGAGTTCTAGAAAGGGAATTGATGTGTGTTGGCTAACTGAACCCTCTCAAACACTCCAGCTAGAGGTGCATTATTTGGAATCCTCTCCTCCTTGTGCCCTTGTTGGCTGATACTAGTAATGTAGCTTTCTTTTGTGTAATCTCGTTTGTTTGTTTGGCCTTTCTGACCCTCTGTTCATTAAAATAAAAAGCTGACTAGTTTAAGTTAATTATTTCTCTCTTTGAAACACTCATTACCATACAAAGCTCAATCATTCCTTCTAATCTCTTAAAAGCACACAGAAAAGCAAACCAAAAAGGAGCCCCGGTTGGATAAGAAGAAAGATAGAAATTGAGGAAAAAGATAGCTTATTATATATGTGTGTATGGTAACCATTTTTTTAATTTAATCAACCAAATTTGATTTTGCAGCATTCACATGATTGGAAGTGTATTAAATTCAAACTTCCAGAATATAATTGGATATAAAGTGTTACATTTTTCCCTTCGGGGAATAAAGGGCGTGTTCTCATTCATGGTAATGAGATGAGTCTCTTATGAACCTACTCTGCTCAACTGCTCCTTGGATGTGCTTTCAAAGATCTTGTCAGCACTTGCTACCTCAAAACCATCCCTTCTATGGAACTCTTTCACCTGTTCCATTAGTGAAAACAAGGATTAGCAAATCCTGCAGAAAATGCTTAGAACTCTTATTAGCAAAATAGTGGTCACAAAATCAGTCTTAGCCATCAACACTAAAGTTAGAATTATAACTAAAGGTTGAAACATGATATTGAAAAGAAAGTGTTCTTTTTTGGAGAGTGAAAAGAAAGAATGTTGCTTACCTCTGCATCAGGTAAATTTTTATATTGTGGCAGCACCAGACGCTCAGCAAATTCGATGTATGAGCATGGAACTGATTCCGTTATGCCGTCAGAAAATTGGAAAGAAATTGAATCTGCTACAGTTGAACTTTGCTGGAGAAGACCATCAGGGCTCACTGGAGGTGGAGAAAATATTCAAATCATTCACATTATCTTTGATACAATAAGTTACAACTTGCAATGGTCATCTTCAACTTCAATATGAATACATCCGTGTATCTTACATAGTTAATATAGGTTATAACTTCAGTATTCAGCTCATAATATTGGGAGCATGATGCACTTACTGACAGATATGCTTTTTCCAATTCTAAATGATAAAGCCTCTGATCAATGGGGAAACAGCTATGCAAACAAATTAACAAACAGCTTCACTTACACCCTTCCTTTCTTTTTTAATACTTAAAATTTTCAAGTGAAAAGGACTTAACAGAATAAGTGTAAGACTTTTATTTCACGCATGGAGGGGGAGAAAAGGAGATAGATTTGATGAACAAGAGCAAACTTTCAAGAGGTGAACACATGCAGGAATGGAAGGAAAATTATCATATTTGACATGAATGAATAAGAGAGCATTGTTTACATTTCAATTATCTTTTATCACTAGAGATAGTGATTGTCTAAATCAGAAAGAAACAAGCCTGAGATTATCTCACTATTGCACATTGAATGCTACTATGATCAGAAAATATTCAGAAAACATTATACTTGCATAACAACAAAAAAGGGTACAAACCTTTCAGTACTCCTCCTTCTGAATTTAATCTGAATCCACTATCCTCAATAAACTGATTTAGTTTTTTTATGTCCCTCAAATGAGTTTTCAGCCGATGAGTAGATATAGTAACATGGTTCAGCGCATATCCATTGACTAGGGTCCAGGCAGCATACTCGCTTTCACTATGTATCAAGTACCAATAAACCATAAGTAAGCCAGATGCTAGAAGAGAGTGGAGACTTTCCTCAAAAAATATTTCTTGCCATACAAACAGTAATACCTTGCCAATTGTTGAAACTCAGAATATAAGGGCTTTTCCCATGTTAAATGTCCGAGGGAACTTGCCAGAGCTGCATACTTGTTTCCATCACCGGATGATTCAGTGTATTTTCTAATTATTTCCTGCACAGAAATTCCAAACTTCTTCTAGTAAACTGTGTTTTTGGAAGTTGGAGCCACAATGCAGCAGAGATATAATTAATTAAGTATAAACCATAGGTGTCACGCAACTATGTATATCATTATATGTATGGATTTCAGGGAAAAAAATATATTGTAAACCATATGGTAATATGCATATACTACACCTCAATCTTAACATATAGAGAAGGGCCATGTAAAATCCTAAGAAATCAAACTATTCATTGCTTTGCAAATTATTGTTTTCATACTAAATACAACTAGCAACACAACAGATAATAGGACAAAACATTAATTTAATTTTTTTTAGATGTAATTCTTAGATAGATGTAGAGTGAAATTAATTGAAAATTTCTCCACAAACACACCTGAGTTTGTGGACTCATCTGATCTACCAGTAGCTCTGATATAAATATTCTTGGCAAAGGCCCATTAATACCACTGCCACTGCTATCTAGTGAATCAGCAGGAGGAGAAAACCAGAATGCCCTCAACTTTTTGGCTGGAAACCTCAATTCCTCCCGTTTTGTATAGCCATAATCCAGAAAAAAACTAGCCATGGAATCAATTCCATAACCATTCACCTATAATTAAGAGCACAGCACACAATGGATAAAATGAACTAACCAAGAATAATTGAGCATACAGAAAAGGGCATGTGGAAGGAGGTAAAGCCCAGACAATTACCCCAAATGTCCTGAATGCAAGATGATCATAGCATAATGAGTCGTTCTCAACAGAGTGAACAAGGTCCAATATGGCCTTCGCAGTAGGATTTCTGTTTAAGTAAACGGATTGCATACTTTCCAACACCCCCCTGAGAAAAGCTTCACCACCCTGCATGTATAGATATCATTAGGAAACTCAGATTCAAGACCAGAACATTAGGTACAGACAACAAGATCTCAAATTTTATTATCACTATTAGCATCATGGATATCCACTGCCAACACAAACGAGAATCAAATTGAAATCCCATTTTTTTATATATTAAAAAAAATACTACGAATGATAATATAAGGAATAACAAATCAAGTCCATTTGGGGGGGGGGGGGGGGGGTATTAATTTTAAAAACTCTAAACATGTGAGAGCATGCAACAAGAAATCTTATCATGAAATAAAATCAACATATGATGTGAAACCTGAATTGATGATTTCTGGGATGCATCTTGTGATGGGGAGCTACAAGACGCACAAAGGGTTCTGCGTGGATTAGATAAGCCTAAGGCCAAGTGGGTCGGGGAAAATGATTGCTTCATGGGAATGAAATTCAAGAGTTTGGATTTGGAAGGAGCAAAGGTTCTACGGAAAGAAAATAGAGGTGAGAAAGTTGAGGACTTCGTAGTTGCAAACATGGTTGATTCAGCCCAGTGAGTGGCTGCTGAAACTGAAAATGCATGCAACTTTGATCTTCAAAGGTACCCTTTTGCCAATCTTATCAAAAGCACTTGGGGGGAATAACAAATCCCAAGTTCTGACATCCTCGGTCTTATCAACCTTAGTTTTACAGTTTTTATATCATTTTAAAATTATTATATTTTTATATAAATATTTGAGAGTTTACGATTAATTAGAAGCTTAAAAGTAAAAAATTAGTAAGAATTTAATACAATTTGAAAGATTTTATAAGATATAACATTAAATTTAAAGATATATTTTTTTATTTAGAGTAAATCCGATATTTTGGCTAATAAATTTTGAATAAAAATATTTTAAATATTTTAAAAATAAGAAATTATTTAGATAAATTTAAAAAGAGACATATTGTATTTATTTTTTAAAATAAATACATTTAATTAGCTCATAAAAAAAGTGAAAGATTAAAACTAGACATAATTAAAATAAAAAAAACTGGAAATATAATTAAATATTATTTTCTGATTTTTGGTTCTTAAAAAGGTGAAATGCCGTGCTTGGCAGTCTCATCTTTTAAAGGAACAGACGACATTGTTCGTCCAAATTTGGAACGGCCGTCATAAAGTCGATTAACTATTTCAGGCAACTTCCATGTTTTGTTTTCTGCTCATCTTTTATTTATTCTTTAAAATAAATAAATTCTATTATTTAAAAAAATATAAATATTTTTTAATATTTTAATATAATTTAGAGAGAATATTAATACTCCTTTAAAAGCATCATAAAAATACTTTTAAAATAAATATTTCAAGTTTTGCATTTCATATTATTAAATCATTTATTGAAGAGTCGTCTACGGCATTGGTTGTCTCTTGCGTTTTGTTCTGCAATCAACGTTTTCCTCATACTGTCACTGTCCTTATCTCTAATCCTTTTCCGTAACAACAAATCAAGCACAACTGTTATTATAAAAAAAACAACGATAAATTAGTAGTTTATTTTAAAAAATAAAAATATTTTTAAATTTATAAAATATTATAAAAATTATAAATTGTCAATTTAGAGAGAATATAATGTTCTCGTAAATTTACAGATATCATAGCAAGTATTTTAAAAATATTCTTGTATATAATATTTTTTATATAAATTTTATATTTTATATAAAACATAATTTAATTAAAAATAATAAAATATTTTATTTAACTTTCTGATAAAATAAAAAATGAATTATTAATGTCATTTAAATTACTTTCAATAAAATTAAATTTAAAATTTTACTCAAATTGAATCCATAGGGTAGCCAAGCCTGTGTTATATTCAAAATATGGCTCAATGGTAGAGAAGAAGAAGCAACAAAGGGAACGGTGTATGTGAAATACAAAAATGCACGTGTCGTTGGGTTGTGAACTGATATAATATGTGTTCTATGCAGATTTGATAGCTCCTATGACTATACGCAGACCCCATTTGAATCTTTAATCACACATTTGAATATTAATCTTTTCATTTTCTAACACATATCTTCCGTACGCCATTTTTGGGTCTGCCAAACAAGGGAAGATACTATTATTACTTTTCATTTGATAGATATGTTTGCATCATTGGTTTCATCTTCCAGTTTACGGACAGTATTTCACTACCCACTTTTTTAATATATTAAGCATTCTATAGCCATTGGTTTATTTAATATAATTTTGATAATGTTTATTATAAAATTAACCTTTGATGAATGTTAGACAATTTGCTTGACCTAATCATATCCTTTGAAATTATCCATGGGAAAAGCTACCCCAGCTAAGTCAAGTCTAGAGCCATCCATCATGTTCTATTATGAATAATATATACCAGGAAATTACTCAAATGTGTTTTAAGTGGTGATAATAAAGATAGCCCTGTTCATCATCTCAGCTAGGTACCCACTAATTAAACATATGTTTGATATTGATAATGTTTACATTTAAGGAAAATAATTGTTTATTTATTAAAAAAATTTCAAAGTTAATATTTTAAAAATAAATTAAATCAAACATGCATTCAACTACTGACTACATGTATAATAAAATCCTTTCGTTAAGAATACATATTGGGATTGTTTAACTTAGTTTTAAATCATTTTATTTTACTTTTTGAGAAGGAAAATCTATTTAATCATGTGGATAATATATTAAAAATGATATGATTTTTACAGAAAATATTATTTGTATCATTAAAATGTGACACTTAAAGGTCTCTCTCTGCACTTGTAATATAATTTTGAGATTCCTCTATATAAAAATAATAAAAAGGAAATAATAATAACAACATATCTGATCACATATGATGTTAAATTTTAATAAAAAAATATTGACTTTTATCTCTACAATTTTTAATTATTAAGTAAAGAAAATATTTAATACATATATACACTATTTTTAATAATTACTTAATAAAATAAAAGGGATAAATAAAAAATAGCAATTTTTAATCCTTCAAATAACGGAAATAACTGTTAATTTCAATAGACTACATGGTCCACTATTTATACGTTGGTTGGAGCAAAGGCAACGACATTGTGCAATGCAACCTCTCTCCTTCTGTTTCTCTTTCTCTTTTTGTTCTTCTTCCCATTTGCTTGCAAAACAAAACGATCATAATGTCGAGCATTGCCTTAGAGCCACTCTTCCACCTTTGCCGAAGAGAAAATCCAATTCAACCTTCCAAACCAATCCCATTCAGACCCTTCTTTCTCACTTGCTCTTCCTCTAATCTCACTAATGCATCCTTCACCTTCCACCAACCCAGCAAGCCTCTCTCTCATGCACTTCAAGCTTCCGTTACAGACACACCCATCCTTCATTCCCATCATACCTTCTTCACCAAGACTTTCCCAATCAACACAACCCAAATGGTCTCAACTTTCCCTTCCTCTGATATATGAAATTTCTTGTTGGTGGTTTCCTAAGAAAATGTTGGGGACAACCTAATTGGGAAAAGTTTTGTTTTTGTTTTTTGTTTTCAGGAATGTGTTTGGTTTAAGAGGAAACATAACGAAAAATTTGTTGGGTGTCATTTTTTTTTTTCTGAAAATGAAAAAGTTGAAACTTTTGAATCAGCTCAATTAATTTTTTATGTTTGGAAAAAAAAAAAAGGTGCTGATGGTGGTTGGGGGGCGGGGGGTTATAAAGGAAATCATAATTTAATATATGTTGGTGTTTGGCATTGATGGGGTTGATTGGAATGGAATATTTTAGGTGGAGGGAAAGATTATTGTGAGATTAGATCACGGAAAGGATTTGAGGGATTGGGAGCTTACAGTGGGTTGCAATCTACCTGGGAAATGGATTCTTCACTGGGGTGTCACCTATGTTGATGATGTTGGAAGGTACATCATGTTCAACAACATGTTTGAATTCTCTTATCTTCCTGGTTGGAAATACCTTGTCATTATTATATTTGATTGATATTATCTTAAGAGCCGACATATCTTAATGTTAATAATCTAATAAAGTTTTATGATGATGATGGAAGCTTGATTCTGTAGGGAATGGGATCAACCTCCTCGTGATATGATTCCTCCTGGATCTATTCCTATAAAGGTAGACAATAAATTCGTGACTTTGCATGATCACATATGTGCACATGTTCACATTACCATGCAAAAGGTTTGAGTTGGAAGTGAAAATTTCAGGACTATGCTATAGAGACCCCTTTGAAGAAGTCATGCTTACCTGCTGAAGATACGATTCATGAAGTCAGGATTGATCTTAAACACATCAATGAAATTTCAGCAATTAATTTTGTTCTCAAGGTTTAATTTTAACAATTAGCTGTTGACAACTCTTAAATAGAAGGCACTGATTCCTCAGAACCTTTTGACTGAACATTGTTGTTGATTCAGGATGAGGAAACTGGAGTTTGGTATAAACACAAAGGAAGAGATTTCAAGGTTTCTTTGGTCAACTGCGTTATGGCGGATACTAATACAATTGGACCTAAAGGGGGCTTAAGATTATGGCCAGGTTTTTCAAATCATTACATAATATCATTTATTTGCTTCTACCTAAAAGTCTATTTTGTTTCTCTTCTTAATGATCTTGGAGGGTCAAATAAATCATAAGTGACATACAGCCAAAGATTTGTGATACTATTTCTTTAATCATAGGGAATTTGGGGCAAATATCTAAAATGTTCATCAAGCCAAAAGCAGGTCTAGATAACAGGAGTGAATCCAGAGATCCAAAACAAGAAAATAATAAAGTAGGTGGTTTCTATGAAGAAGTGACTATCACAAAGAAAGTTTTAATCAATAACTCTATCAGTGTCTCCATCAAGAAACGTTTTGAGTCAGAGGCAGTTAAGGATCTTTTATATTTTGAAACTGATCTACCTGGAGATGTTGTCCTTCATTGGGGAGTTTGCAGGGATGGTTCAAGAAGGTGGGAAATTCCACCTCCTCCTCATCCACCAGGCACAATGGCATTTAAAGACAAGGCTTTGAGAACTCAATTAAGGGTATAGATATAAAAAAAAGGACTTTCCTTTTTTCTTTTTTATGTTTTATAACTTGAATTTAGTTTATTAAATGTATTTTATGCTTACCTACCATCCAATTCCTATGTACCCTCTTTTATTTTACTAAAGGATCTTTTCTTTTCTTTTTTTTTTTTTGCTATTCTAAAGGATCTTTTTAAATACTAAAGATTTATATGCCTTAATGAATATTTAGAATTTTAGATTATGAATAAATTCATGGTATTCAAGCAACAATTCATTTAATAGTTATTCCCTTGATCTCTCCCTGCTCTCTCTCTCTCTCTCTTGGGTGAAAACTTGAAGTTTGGTTATCTTTGTTGGGTCAGGATATAGGGGTATAGTACTGTAGTTAGTGGCTTTCTCTGCACTTCATGATATATTTACTTATTCACCCTGGTTTGTAGCCAAGAGACAGTGGAAAAGGATCATCAGCACTAATCACTTTAGGAGAAGAATTTTCAGGATTTAGTTTTGTTCTTAAGCAAAATGAAAATACTTGGTTCAAGAACATGGGAAATGACTTTTATATTCCCCTCTCAAGTTCTACTAGCTTGCTTAATTTTGGCTACAGAGAGGATCAACTAGAAGGTGTGCAGAGGGAAGTGATTGAAGAGGCTAGTCAAGATACTTCTTTCTTTGCATTTACTGATGGGATATTCAATGAAATAAGAAATATGGTCACAGAAAATTCATCAGAGAAGAGTCAAAAGACAAAATCTGAAAAAGCACAACAAAGCATTTTTCAAGAAATTGAAAGACTGGCTGCTGAAGCCTATAATATATTCAGAAGCTCCATTCGTATTTTCTCTGAGGCATCAACTGTAGAATCTGAGGTAACTCTTAAGGAAATTGAGGCAACTATTGTGGAACCTCAGGCAACAACAATTGCGGTACCTGAGGCTGCTGTGGAATCAGAGACTCAGACCTTGGATCCAAAAATATGCTCAGCGACAGGCACAGGGTATGAAATATTATGTCAAGGGTTTAACTGGGAATCTCATAAATCCGGAAGATGGTACATGGAGCTTAAAGAGAAAGCTTCAGAACTATCATCACTTGGTTTCACTGTGGTTTGGTTACCACCACCTACAGAGTCTGTTTCACCTGAAGGATACATGCCAAAGGATTTATATAATTTAAATTCCAGGTACTAGATTAGCAGCAGTCAAATTCTTTTATAGATATGAATGTCAATCTTCTCTTAGTACTTTGATAGAAGGTTCAGTCTTAGGCAAATAACATACGTTGACCAGTGCTTACATTCAACAGCATATGTCATATGTTGGACCTCAAATATTATGATCACTCATTGACATTAAATGGAATAAACTTTCAGATGTTCATTTATATAATACTTAAGATAAAAAAGAACCTCAAAGGATAAATAACAGTAATAACATCGTTAAGAAAAGGACTTGTTCATAGGAATTGTTACAATTTTTTTTAAAATAAATATCAGATATGGAAGCATTGATGAACTGAAAGATTTGGTGAAAAGATTTCATGAAGTTGGGATCAAAGTTCTAGGAGATGCTGTTTTAAATCACCGCTGTGCTCATTATCAGAATCAAAATGGTATTTGGAACAAATTTGGAGGCAGTCTCAACTGGGATGATCGTGCTGTTGTTGCTGATGATCCACATTTTCAGGTTTGTTTGTGAAGGTCTTGTTCTTTGAGACTAGTAATAATAAAATAATCCTGAACCAGAATAAGATAATAAAAGGTACTCTTCTTTTTCTATAACAAAGCTAGTTTCTTTTTATGGTTCAAGATCAATGCCTTTCCATTATGTTTCTTAGATGATTTTAGTACTACGATATTGTTACTTTCCTGGGTGAATCTGCAGAACTTAATGAATATCCTTCGTAACATACAGGGTAGGGGCAACAAGAGTACTGGAGATAATTTTCATGCTGCTCCAAACATTGATCATTCACAGGAATTTGTGAGAAAGGATCTCCAAGAATGGTTATGCTGGTTGAGGTTGTTATTTTTAGACACAGTTTCTTCATCTTACTTTTAATGAAAAATTGTTGTAAGAGGAAAATGCATCCAATCAAATTGAGAGTAGATCATAGGTTCTAACCATACAAGTTGGTTATGCTGGAGAGCTAATACGTTATAGCATAGAGAATGAGGTTAAAACCATCTTCTGATTTTTCATAAAATATCATGTTTGGTGCTTTATGTTTCACACTTGATTCTTCCTATTAGTTAGTTGTATGTAACTTGGCAAAAACCACAATATGGCTTAACTAATTACAATGTTTGTGCTTCATGGGAGGGGTTTTTATGTGTGCATTGATACCATTGATATAACAGGAGAATTTCTCCCCCCGCCCCCAAGTTAGTATTACAGAATTGTATATTTTTTTCTAACACCTTGTGACTTATAGGAAAGAAATTGGGTATGATGGATGGAGACTTGACTTTGTCAGAGGATTTTGGGGTGGTTATGTAAAGGACTACGTGGAAGCGAGTGAGCCTTACTTTGCTGTGGGAGAGTTTTGGGACTCCCTCAGTTACACAGATGGTGAAATGGATCATAATCAAGATGCTCATAGGCAAAGGATAGTTGACTGGATCAGTGCCACCAATGGTACTGCTGGTGCATTTGATGTTACAACTAAAGGGATTCTTCACTCTGTAAGCACTAACTCTGGCACATTTTTTTCACTGCATTTGCTCACATTTACATATTCCATGTACCTCTTACAAAGTCAATTTTGTTTTTAAATTATCACTAGTTTCATTTATTTGATTTTGGAATAAATATATGCTACTGGATTTTTTATATTATTTTTGTAATTTTACACAACTGATTTTACTGTAAGTATTACTTCTTCTAGTGAAAAAATCTCATACTCATCAGTGACAAACTGCTTGCTGCTAAGCTATGTCTAAGATTTTCACACTTGTTCAAATTAGAGAGAACCATATGGTGACTTAATTATATGCATTAATTATCGAATAGAATTAACATAAAATTCTCATATGGCACTCATGAATTCAACTCCTTTGAACTTTAAAGTGATTGTGTGCGTAAAGCAATAAAGTTAGGATGTGTTCACCCTTAATTTAAAGCAGTTAAGTTTATGAGATACTTTAACCTCACTTTACAGTTTATACTCTTGCTCCCTATATAGAAGTTGGATCCGGCACTCATTTCTAGCTATTTCAGAAATATATGCAACTGTTTGTGATGTAACCAACCTTACCTTGGCCTCTTAATTTGTTTTCCAACTAAAACATGTACCTGTGTCTGTTGAAAGGAAACACAAATGTGCACGATGTAAACATGGTTGCTTTACATAGGTTGTCTATTTACTCTTTAATCTTGAAGTGTTAAATTCTTCTCAATATAGGCATTGGAAAGATGTGAATATTGGCGATTGTTAGATCCGGCGGGAAAACCTCCTGGCATTGTTGGGTGGTGGCCATCTCGTGCTATTACCTTTGTAGAGAATCATGACACTGGTTCCACACAGGTTTCAACTCTCCCTTTCTAAAAATATATACAACTTGACATTTTTCTAGGTTTAATTTCATTGAAAGAATTTGTTATCGATGATTTCATATGGAAAAGGTTTGTTAATTTTGCTTATACCACTAGTATGATTAGATATTTTCAAATTAGGCATTTCCCTTGGAACTTCTTCAGATTGTATATTCAGATTTATATTTCTTTAATATTTTCTCTTACAGGGTCATTGGAGATTTCCCTGTGGAAAAGAAATGCAAGGATATGCTTACATTCTTACTCACCCAGGAACCCCATCAGTTTTCTTGGACCACATTTTATCTCACCATAAAAATGACATAGCAACTCTTATGACTCTCAGGAAGAGGAACAAAATCCACTGCAGGAGTACAGTAAGTATTAGAATATTGTACTGTATACTAAATACTAGCATTGTGTACACAATATCTTCTGGGGTGGATGAATAAGAAGAAACTTTTTTCTAGCATGCAGAAGCAAACTATTTTTGGTTCTTAACATAGGCTGAGAGTGAAACTAATTACTCATAAATCATAATGCCTAATGACATGACATTCCATAGTATGCATCTACTGGTTTAGCTGCAGCTCTCAGTTTGTTAAGTAACATGATATGATCATGTTGGAAAGAGAAAGATATAATTTTTATCAAACAATGACCTACCATAATTAGTCGTAGGACTCGGTAAATTAAATTTGATAAAAATTGCACCATTCTCTCTTTAACAACATCATATCATATTACTCAACAACATGAAAGGATCCAAATCCGATTTTATTTCCTTGGTGTTTTATAGGGAAATTAATGCCATGTGCATGCTTATATCTTTCATGATTTTATTAATCAAAATGCCATGATGTTCTTTAGATGGGCATTCAGTGGCATATTGATGTGATGTCCTACAAAATTTATATAGTTGGAGCACTAACCTTTACTCTTGCATGCTCAAGGTTCAAATTACTAAAGCAGAGAGGGATGTTTATGGAGCCATCATTGATGAAAAAGTTGCTATGAAGATCGGACCTGGATATTTTGAACCCCCTAGTGGCTCCCGCAAATGGTCATTAGCTATTGAGGGAAACGACTATATGATTTGGGAAGCATCATAATCATAGCCATAATATAAATATTACTCATTAATTATCTTATATATATATATATATATGTATGTATATATGTATATAGTTCCGTTGTATTGTTCAAGAATAGGATGTTGTATTGGGATGGTGGAATGGCATGCTCCAATTGAAATGAGTTGTGCCACGTTGTTGCTTAATGTAGGTATATGGCCATAGAAGCATCACACAACCGAGTTGAAAAATGTGGATGCAAATGAGTTGTATTATACATATACTATATTTACGAAGTATACGGTTTTCGGGTATTTAAAAGAAAGAATGTACCCAACAAACCTTTTTTATAGTAAATAATTTGTCTCAACAGTCTTAAGGATGAAGAATAATTTTAAGTTAAGAGGAATTAATTTTAATTATAGATTTTAAATTAGGTGAGAGAAATTGACTCTATACCTCTTTGTATCATTGTTCTAAAAGTGGAATGCTGCTTTTCGAGCCATGAACAAACATTCTAGACAAGTTTTATCAAAGCAAAAATATTTTGTGGTCAGGAAACTCCAATTCAAATTGAATATAAAGTTAAGTAGTAAAATGAATTAAACTCTTTCAATAAGATAAAATTAACTTCTTTATTTTAAAAAATTCACTTATTTAACTTTTTTAAAACACATAAAGATAAATTATTTTTAACTTGTGTGAAAGCATTTATTTTAATCTCTAGGAAACGGGATTTTGGGTTCCTTATAAACAAGCTATTGTTTTGTGTACTGCTTTTGAATTTAATTTGTGCTAGATATTAGACGAAACAAAGTAAAATATATGTCTGGATTTACATATTTTAATTCAGATGCTCTTGAAAGTAGCTTATGCGTTTTAAACATATTGTAAGTGAATATAACTATAATTTGATTTTAAAAATGAATCTAACCTGAATAATCATAAACATAGTTACATGCTTCACTCGATAACTTTGCATATTATATGATCTTATCGTCTCATATACCAACTATTAGAACCCTTAGTTTGTTTTTTTTTCACTGTCTCCGAACCATTCTCTTATGTGAAAAAATAATTTAATTTCTCTTTCTTTCTATTCAAAAGAATGTGAGAGTATCCAAAATCTATAATTCTTTTGGAGAGTCTAAGGCCTTGAATTAAAATAAAAGAAAAACTTTGCCAATATATATATATATATAAGAATTTTGTTAATCTCAAGTCTAGGTATAAGCATTTATAAATAAAAAAATTTTATGAAAAAAGTACATAGTTATTATATTAAAGTTATAAAAAATACAATAAATATTTCTCTTTGTAATAAAATTTTACTATTATTAACTGCTTGTCCTGACAAAATTTTATATACAATGACAATAATGTTGAAAGTTAAGTAGAAATAGAATAGATTAATTGGTAGGGATCCAGGATTTATAACTTATCTTATCACACATTAAACTTATGTTAAGAACAAACTTATTTACTAAATATTTTAGATTAATATTTTTTTTTAAAAATCTATATTATTAAGAAGGCCAGGCTTTGTCATTAAAAAAAACAGCAACCCTAATTAATCGACTAACTTAAATAAATTAAAATACTTTTATTAAAGTTACATACACTTATCATAATAATTAGAATGTTATTATATTATATTTTTATAATAATATTTTAAATTATATTATTGTCTATTTAAAATTTTAAATCAAGTGACTTGTATGTTACTGAAGGAATTTTAATCTTTTTAGAGGTATTTTTTTTAATTTAAAAAGCCTTATTACAAAATATATTTGTAAATAACTTCTTAGGCTAAGTCAAATTTTTAGGGTTCCAAAGAATAATCAATTTTGAACCATGCATTTGTAAAATAAATTAAACTTAAAGTCTAACATAAATTAACTTATTTTCACATTGATAAAAACTTTATCTAGCTTCCTAAAATAACATAAGTTAGTGTATATAGAGATGAAAATAGGTCAAACTGTTTGACGTGATCTGTTAATAAACAAATAAAGTTTTAACTTTTTTTAAGACCTATTTAAATAAATAAGTTAGGCATAAACTGTTTACAAAGTTTGTTAAGCTTAACAGGCCGATCTATATATATATATAGCTATCAAAATATATTTAAATAATAAATTTATTTAATAATATATTTTTTATATTCTTAATCCTGTTATTATTAAATTAATATATTATGTTATAATTTTTTTATTTATAATTATAATAAATAAAAATTATATTATTAAAAATTAAAAATATTTATACACGATTACACTTTTTAAATAATAAATTTATTTAATAATAAATCATCACATTTGTTACATTTAAAAGAGTGGTTAAGTCTTTGAATAGGAAGAAGATGTAATTAAAATTAAACGAAATAAAATTTTAAAATAAAATAATAATATTATGTTAATATATTTTTTATATTCTTAATTTTATTATTATTAATATTTAACTATTATATTAATATATTATGTTTAATTCTTTTTCTTTATGATAAATAAAATTTATGTAAATATGAATTATATTTTATTTGAAACTAAATTTTTATAAAAAATGATAGAAAAATAAAGTAAAAAATTTAATATAATATATATATATATATAATAGAACTATGTAGTAAATAATATAATTTTAAATAAATTAGATATAATAATATATACTTTTTGTATTTATTACATATTTTATTTTTATTCGTATAAATTTCTTGAGTAAGTTGCCTATAAAAAATATTTTAGATTCCACGTCCACAGCATACATAGTCACACACCTAAATATAAATATGTCAAATTTTAAATAATTACTTTTAATAAATTTGACATAGATGTAGATAGATTTTTCTTTAAAAATATAGTTGTTAATATACATTTGAAATTCAATAATTAATAAATATTTATATAAACGAAAAAATATAAATAAAAAATTATATTATTAATTAATTTATCAATTTATATATAACATATAAATATATATTTTAATGTATTGTATCAGTAATATTTTTTATATTATATTAATGTTATAATGTAGTTAATTTTACGTATACTTATTAATTTAAAATAAAAAATTAATGAAAAAATAAAATTAAATATTTTATAATTATTTTTTAATTTAATAGTTATTATTATTGTCAATATATATATATATAGTGTATTGAGTTTAAATTTTATATTAAGTTTTATTAAATATTTTTTTATTAAGATAAAAGTTTAGAAATATAAGTTATTTTAATGTAAATATAAATTTTATTAATTTTTACTATACTCATATGTTATTTTTCTACATTCATAAATTTTATAATATAAATATTTTTTATTTATAATTTTATAATGATGATATTTATTTATTTTTTAAAATAATTTTTTTAGCTAATTCAACAAATTTTGTCAGTATTATTTTTTATTATCAATTTTATATATTTACTATGATTTTATTTATTGAATATAAAATATTTTTGTACAAATAAAATATAATTATTATAAAAAATAATTAAAATTTTTAATACTTTAATAATTTTATAAAATTAAATTAAGAAAATAAAAATATAAAAATTTTATAATATGAAAATATTTATAGTTAATGCTCAAATAATATTTTAAAAATTATTTATAAAATGATATAAAAATTTGTTACAATTATTTAATAATTATCAATAACAGATAAAAATTTAAAAATATGTAAACTAATTTGATAATAAAATAATTATATTTTTATTAATATTAAAGTTTTTTTTTGTAACAGCCTTTGTTAACAGGTTTCAAGTCAAGCCATTTAAATAGGTTAAGTCAGACTAAAAATAAAGTCTTTAACAAGTACAAGTTAGACTCAGGCTTAATAATTATATTACAAGTTGGGCCTAAATAAAGTCTAACTTGACCTAACCTGTTTCTATCCCTAAATGTACAGAGAACGTTCTTGTGTAAATATAAAGGATGTTCTGAGGAGTTTTTACGCAATTTATTTTTGCTCATAAAAATAAACTATTAATATTTTTTTATAAACTCTTTTATTTTATTTCAATTAGTTTCATAAAAATTAATTAAAGTAAGTTTTATTTTAACTTATTTTAGTAAATTTCACATATAAGTTTATGACAAACTATGTTGACATTAAAATAATAATATTATTATTATCATTAAAACATAATTTTTTATCAAGAAATATTTAAGGATAAGCTAGAGCTTACATGTTCGGGTACCTTTATCTATCATCAAATGTTACGTTTATTACAAGTGTTTCAATGGATCCAGCATTGTTTAGGATGCTCTGCATGGGACACATCAATGGTTTATATGAGCTTGACCTTCACCTATCAAGCTTGACCAGGCAATGTTATATCAGCAAAATTTGGGTGGTTAGATCCACCACCATTTTTATGTGGTAAAATTGAAAACAAATATCACATGTTTTTTCCTTGGCCACTAGGAAACGTGCATTGTTTTCTATGAATAGAAATGCACTCAGTAAACTGATTTTAATAGAAGTTTTGTCCTTATATATAGTTCTTTGACAGAGGTTAACCGTTAATCTAGCCAAAAATTTCTCCGAATTCACCCAAATTTGGCTTCTGGTCGTTGTATTTTCTTTAGCTATTATTCTCCATATAGCCTCATACACATACATATAAAGGATCATGTCAAGTTCTTCATATAGGGCATAGCTTTTTCCTCATTCCATTGCCAGGGGGTTCTTTCCATTCGGCTGAGTTTATCTTCGGCGTGGCCGTAATCAGCCGAACAATAATAAGAACCTCCATGGAAAATTTGTACAATGTCCTCCTTCTAACGTGCTTTTTAGTCCTAATACCTACCTTGCATGCCAATGTCAAAGAGGATAGTGGGTATTGGGAAAAGCACGAGGAAGTGCTTGATTCATATTGGATTCAAAGAGCATCAGATGCTGAAAAAGTGAACCAGGGAGCTTATTATTCTGACCCTTATGCACTCACCAGCAACCTGACTTCTAGTGTTAGCCAGTGAGTCTTATGATTATCATATTAATATCATAACATGAATTCAATAGTGGTTATATTATGTTTCTCAAGGCTTTTTTTTATTTGTTTGACAAAATAGGCTTATAATTGGTGATAAGAAGGAAAGAAGAAAGTTGGGTTCAAAATCAGGAAGTGATCAATGCCTGGCAACAAACCCTATTGACAGGTGCTGGAGGTGTGACCCTAATTGGGCAAACAACCGCAAGAAGCTTGCAGATTGTGTGCAGGGTTTTGGCAGAAACACTATTGGTGGAAAGAATGGTGAATTTTATGTGATAACCGATCCTTCAGATAATGACATGGTGAATCCAGTTCCTGGTACCCTTAGGCATGCAGTTACACGAAATGTACCCTTGTGGATCATCTTTGCTCGTAGCATGACCATTAGGCTCAATCAAGAACTCATAATGAATAGTAACAAGACCATTGATGGAAGAGGAGTTGATGTTTACATTACCAATGGAGCTGGTATTACCATCCAGTATATCAGCAATGTGATCATTCATGGAATTAAGGTTTTTAACATTGTGTCTGGCACTGGTGGACTTGTTAGAGATTCTGCGAACCATTATGGTATAAGGACTAGGAGTGATGGGGATGGAATTTCCATCTTTGGCGCTAGCAATATTTGGATTGACCATGTTTCCATGAGAAACTGCGTGGATGGACTGATAGATGTCATTCAGGGTTCCACTGCTATTACCATCTCTAATAGCCATTTCACAGACCACAATGAGGTGTTTAGTTAATTTAATTCAGATGTTTGCTCATTTTTCAATTCCTGGATTTGAAATTGACAATGTTTTGCTTGCCTGATTTTGTGTTGGGTTTGGTTTGTGTATGTGATGCAGGCGATGCTGTTTGGTGCTCGTGACAACTATGATACTGATAGCATTATGCAGATCACTGTGGCATTCAACCACTTTGGTAAGAGATTAATCCAAAGGATGCCAAGGTGTAGATATGGCTTTGTCCATGTGGTTAACAACGATTACACCCATTGGGAAATGTATGCCATCGGTGGTAGCAAGCACCCTACCATTATTAGCGAGGGGAACCGGTTTATTGCCCCTAACAACAATAATGCAAAGGAGGTATGCATCTAAATACATATCTAAGTATGCATATTGTCTATGTTGATCATTTTCCTTCTATTAGTATTGACACAATATCACCCAAGAGAGAGAATGACAAAAAATTTATTGTACAAGGATTCATTAGAATTGATTGTAGGGTCTCCTAGTTAGACCATACCTTGTTATTCAACAATAGAAAGCAATAAGGATCCAAACCTTTTCCCCTTCGTTTCTTCCAATTTCTCTCTTACCAACCAGATGATAGACTCCAATAGACTCAAGGACCCAACAAACAAATTCTATAGTCATGTGTCATTTCTTCTTGATTATTAATATTTTTCTAAATTATTTTCCTATACAAGAAGTATAAATGTTTCACCATGCATTATTAGTACTCAAAGCAATGGTTTAGCATTGATATACTAACTTTGTTAACCAAGTTTATTTTTTAAATTTTAAATGAAATAATGAAATTTGAATGGAGACAATAAGGGTGACACATAATTTGGTGATTTGGTGAAGATAACGAAGAGGGAATATGCACCAGAATCAGAATGGAAAACCTGGCAATGGAGATCAATCAACGATGTGTACTTGAATGGAGCATTTTTCAGAGAAGGTGGAACTGAGCTAACCAACAGGCCATTTTCAAGGAAGGATATGATTACAGCGAAGCCTGGCTCTTATGTGGGAAGGCTCACTCGCTATGCTGGTAGCCTTAAATGCGTAGTGGGTAAACCATGTTAGCCTTCAACACTTCTAAGCTTTGTTGATGCACAAGTGGCTTTGCCAAAGGAGAGAAAATATTTAAGAGATGGTTTCTATCAGGGAGGTTTCCTTGTCTTTCTTTTGCTCCATTTATTGGAAAGAAAAGTGCGAAATTTTCTGTAAAAAAATGTGAAAAAAAACCATCACACAATTCTCTACACATTCTTGGAAATTCTTAGAACAATTGTACATGGAATGAGAAGTTATTGAATTTATTTATGAAATATTTGATAAGATTAACGTGTGTTATTATGAGCTATGGTGTCATTTTGCTCAGACTTTTTTTTCGTTTTCCGTTTTGCCAACTAGTATGCAGTTTCAGGCGTATATTCGTTAGAATAATTTCTTTATGCACCACCCTTCCAAAACTTTAATTTGTAAATCAATTTTTAAAAAAGTGATTTACAAATCACCTGTTAGAATTAAATTTATGAAAGATTATTTAGTACATTTAAAAATTAAATTTTCTGAAAATGTGAAAGGATGGTAGAATTAAAGAAACAAAAAAGGTAATGCAATTTGTTTTTTAAATATTAGTAATAAGAATCGAGGGTAGAGACGCCCAAGAGGAAATCCTTCCGTCGACCCCAAAATGCAGGTGTCTAACTAAAATATAAGATTAATAATTTTTTTCTTGAATTCAAAATTATAGACAATATAGTTATAGTCAATGACGAGTAATTAAAAGAATATTTTTCTTAAATTTAAAATTTAAATTCCTTGGTTTTTTAAAGATAAGTCATTCATCTTCTAAAATTTAAATTTCTTATATTAAGTGATTCAAAAAATATTCTTTAATTCATTTTAAGGAAAATAATATAGTTCAATTTAGGTTAACTTCTTAATTAAGTACTTATAAAAAAAGTAAAATAATTTTTTTTAAATTAAAATTAATTTATGATTTTCTATTTTTTTTATATAACTCTTTTATTCAATTGATTTAAAACATAAACTGAATTCGCTGATTTATTTTATTAGCATATGTTAATTTTAACTTATAATTTTTTTTTATTTATATCTCATTTGTTTCTTCTTTCATAAGTGCTCGTTTAAAATTATATTAGTTAAGAATATAATATAATAAACTAATTTAAAATTTTGTTTAGCAACATTAGAAATTATTTTCTCGAATAGAGGAGAAAAAATTTCAAACATAGGAACAATATATTCTTGGGGCGCCACTTGTAAAATATTGTCCATAAAAAAAATAGACCAACTTACAAAACCTCCTTCAATGGTTATTGGTGCAAAGAAGAGTAAAACAACATAAACAAATGTGTCTTACTTATCTGAATGGACCATTGTGTGGTTGGTAGAAGATAAAATGTGTGCAAATGTAGGAGTTATCATTGTTGCTCTGATTCTGAAGATGAAAGTGGAAAGAAAGGCTATCAGGGAGAAAGAGGGGATCAAAAGGGGACGAGTTTTTATTTTTTTTAAATTGATCAAGGATTGGGGAACATCATACATACCAATAAAAAAAAATTAATTTGGTCAAATACTATTTTGTCAATGGATTATGCTTAATATTGCCGCCTTGACACATTACACTTTCAAAACGTTGCACCCAATCAATCAGTGTAAGAGGTATATTACTGGTATAACATTACTCATGATGCGTAACACATGATAACGTCGCAAGTGCTTGGTTGCTGCACCTTTTTGCTATGCATAACACATTTCATTTGCTACAATGGTGTAATCCATGAGGCTCTTATGTGTACAAGCTATCTCAAAATACTAAATTGTTTTTTATTTGTTTTTGGGTAAATTAATTTTAACTTTACATTGATTTGGTCAAAATGCTTAGGAAAGAAGCCAAACCAATGACAACAGTGTGCTACTTGAGGCATTCATCTTGACGTTTAAAAGCAAATATGAATATAGAGAAGCAATTTATGGTCTCTGACATTAAGCCTAATAAGGTAAAAACCTTTTCAAAAGTTTTGAATGAAAAACATGTCAGATTTAAGCCCATTTAAAAACACATTATAAACTTAACAGGCCAGTCCATTTAGTAATAGTATGCCTTAACAAGAATATTAATATTATATTAAATTTTTATCATCATCAAGACCCATAAGTTCATTTTAACATATCTACTTAAATGTAAGTTCATTTTAACATATTCAAAAGAAAATTCTTACATGTTAATTTTATAAGTGATGTATACCACTTAAAATTGAAGTTAAAATAATGATTTAAGCGTAGTTAAGCTTTTAAAAATGTCTCTTATCCAGGATTAATAACTATGCACCTAGCTTTGCAAAACGTTGTAGTACAGCCGAAGACATTGTAAATCATTAAATCATGCTGCCACATCCACCTCATAAATTAGAGTAGAAGACGATCACAATTTTGGAAAAACATACCACGAAATCATATCAATACCACATCCAAAAGCAATTGATACAGGCTGGTAGCACCAATGCAACAAACTCCTGGCAGCAAAATTTTATTTACAACATAGAATCACAATTCAAGAGCTTGAATATAAAAATTTATCTAGTCTATTAATACTATGTTCAATTTATATTTGATATATAAATATCACAGCAGCTATGGCACAAGTATGTTATGATTTATGAACAAGTGAACCGCAAATTAACTGCTGAATGAAAACAGAAGAGGAATGCTTAAAAGCTCGGCAATCATCATTTAAGACCTTGTCATCAACACCTAGTTGTAGTAGTCCTGCAAAATCAAAGCATGTTCGAATCAAAATAATAAGCATAGAGAGCAGTCATAAGCACAAGAAAGGAAACATAACTATCAAGATTTACTTTTGGATAAGAGTCAGCACAAGTTTCTGAGATCAATGAGATTGCTCATTCAGTCTCGAGTTATAAATGTTTGTGATAAACTGGGGAGAGAGAGAACTAGGCAGAGGAAAATTTGCCCTCCGCCTCATTATTTTGGGCACTTGTATCAAGACTAGTTAAGTTAGCACAGGAAATCTACTTTTACAAGCCTTATTGCTGAAACTGATACGATTTTTATATAAAGTTCTATGCAAACATGTTCATAGCTTACAAAGATCCAAACACACTTAAAAAGACACCTAGATTTGCATAAGAAATTTCTCTAATCTGTCAGGCTCAGTTCTCTTTAAAGAACCTGCTTAAGAGGCAGCCATTAGTTGAATAGTATGAACGCAGGGTCATCAGGCAACCAGGACCTATATGATATGGGATGTTTCTAGTAATAGTATATTAGTTTACAAACTGCGACAACTTTGTCCAATTTTTAATTTTAAGTATTAGCAATCTTGTTTTTGTATCATTGCAATTTTGGGTAAATCATATTGCCTTGCTCTACCCTATGTCCCTACCCTAAATTATGTTTTCATGAAGAAAGATTACATTAACTGAGCAACATTTAAGCACTCAGTGAACTGCGTGTATTTGTAACATGTCAGGCAAATTAAACTGATAATCACTCTTCAGTCCTCCCCAAGGGTATAGAAAATCTGGTGCCCTATAAATTTATATAAATGGGTTAGTGATCCCAGCATGCAATGCATCTTCCTGTGCAGGGGGAAAGATTCGAAGAACCAAAAATGAGCTAATTCAAACCTCAACAATGGCCTTCGCTGCTGCTCTAGCTTATCCATGCCATCTGGTGTGATACTATCTGAAGCTGACCTATCCAAACCAGTAGATAATGTTTCCGCAATGTCTTTAAGACCCTGCAAATGAAAATAGGAACATTAACCATAATATAAGAAGCAAATTTCAAATTATGAAATTAGTAGGATAGCATAGCTTATGGAGATAAATAGCTTCTTAAACTAGACATTAACAAATAACTCATTTCCCACTAGGAAAGTAACAGTTAAAAACAAAGCACAAGGTAGAAGAATACTTTCAGATTTGGAGTTCCTTTATATGTGATCAAACCAGGGGACTTCCCAGAAAGTTTTGGTTGCTCCTGCTGAATATTTAATAATTGACATCAGATCAGATCATTATCTAAACAAGGAAATTCAGAAGATATCATTAATAATAAAGCCACCATTAGAATGAGAAAAGGTGCTGTGCATTGTAATTTAAATTCAGCATAAGCTCTTCAAGCTAATCTATTTCTTGCTCATGTTAACACTCACATCAGAAAAGTTTGTGGTACTCCACATGATATATTATTTGCATATTCAGTAGTCACAGGTAATTAGAGGGTGACAAACAACAAGAGATAACATAATCACAACTGACAAATATCAGAAACAAATTCCAACCTGCAAAAAATCTGGCATTTTCCGGGTTTTTCCATGTACAAAGTCAATGAGATATGCCAACCCATGATTAGCATAATCCTGCAATCACACTATTAATCAGTATTGTATTTAGGTGTATCAACAGAAATAACAAATTTCATAACAAGATCTGTATACATACCAATGGTTCTAGCACTAAAATTTTTCACATCACATGATAACGTGACAAACTTAATGAATAAAATAATGTGCAGATATTACAAATAAAGGAACAAAAAAAGTTTATGACAAACAATTACATATTGCTTTCCCTATTTAACAAGGCATGAAAAAACTTTACCTGCTTCCAACTCAATGTAGCCAACCTTTCATCCTGAAAGGGAATAATTATACAACATAAGAATGAATTAAATCAAGGAGGTGGTGCACGCACGCACGCAATTTTGGGGAAGACACAAATATATTTAATTACACATGCACACACAACCAATTTTGGGGGGGATGATAAATGTGTCATTTACTTTGTGACAGCAAGATAGATATTTTCATTCAAATGAAAATAAAAATTCATGCCAAACTCCTAAACATCCTTCTTCACAATTCTACACTATGAAGCAACCATGATAATAGTTACTAACCAAGCTGAAAACAAAACAAACATACCAATGTTTCCACTGTTAGTTGCAAGATACCCAAGTCATCATGGAAATTAGTAATTGTACTTCGAACTCCAGCAACCTGTAAAGTGTATCACAAGTAATGACAGATCTGTTATTTCCCATCATGATTATAAATTACAATACAAATGGACATAGCATTGCCAAAATGTGCTTTCCATTCCTTTATACTGGACTATGCAGCTGATTTGAAAGAGCTAAACAGAATACATACGTAACTCGTAAAGGATAGGCAACTATAATAATTTTCTATCTTACATATTTTTAAAGTAACTAAATCTAAACCATCCAAATTACAAGGTTAAAAATTTAAGGGATAGGATTTAAAATTTAAAAAATGATTTTGTCATTTAAAGGTTTTAAATTGTTGTAAGGTACACAAAAAGGTTATCTAGAAGTTTTAATATTATGAAGTTGAATTTGCTGTGGAGAATCGATGTAACGGGACTTAAGTTATATGTTAGAAAGAGTAAATGGTGAGAAATTCTGACAGCAGCTGGTCTTCTGACAATGATAAAAATAAATAAATTATGTTGGATGCTCTAGTTCTCTTGCTGTGAACAGAAACCAAAACTTGGTACTCCTAGAGGGAAATAGACTGAAGAAGAGAAGAATGGAGCTAGTCTAACATTTAGAGAACCTTATATCCCAATATCAATCAAGATTCCATAGTTGTAAAGTATTCGACAAATGACTAGGTATATAATATAAAGCAATATATAGGAACATAAGCCGCTCCATAACTGATCAGGACTCAATAAAGACAACACAGTAGAGTTTTGCTGCCAAACTATCACATAATATTTATCAACATAAATATCCATCAATACTCGAGTTTTCAAAAATCAATAACTTCTAAAGGAAACCTCATTCCGTAGTCTGGAGAGAACAATATATATTGATGCATGTATATCTAAATAGAAAAGAATGCATGTAAGGGAAATTTGGCTTGTGTATCTGGAAATCTGTTTTTGACAGCATATGTCTTTATGTAGGTACAGATGCAAGCATCAAGTCTTTATGTATCAAAAGACATACTTCATCCTTAATTGAGCGTGCCAACTCATTCTGCTTGAGCATTTTGTCGTCCAAATTTTGAATTCTCTGGGTCAAATGCTTCTTGGCATCCTGTCATCAACAGAATTGAGAGGAAATTAAAATAAGCACCAACTAAGAAATTTACACATACTAATTTCCATGTGTAAATCTTTGAATGCATGATGGTGGGATTAATATCTTTGGACAAACTGTGGGGAGTGGGGAGTGGGGAGTTGTTATGGCATGTGAATTAAATATTTTCAACCCCCCCCCCCCTCTTTATTAAGGACAACAGATGGTGTGTAGTCTGTTAAATGTGGCACTTACCCTTAATTCATTCCTTTTTTTTTTTTTTGGGGGGGGGGGGTGTTGTTAAAGCTTGTCATGTGTCATTTCTTCTAAGAAGTAACCTAAGACTAATTCTTTATAACAGACAGCAGCAGCTTTAGTAGGAAGCTCATTATAATACTTTGTTGGCAAAACATTTCATAATGGGACAGACCATACTCTGTTTTCCTTTTCTCTTCCAGTGTTAAGAGTTATGAAACAACAGGTCTTGGACTAAGGGCACGTTTGAGTACACAGATTACTTAATCACTTAATCAAAGAGCTCTATTTATAAGGGCTCATACCATAAATTTCACCATAAAACTTATTATAATAAGCTAAAAAATATTAATTTGATAAGTTATATCAATAATTTATTGAAGTATGTTAAAAAGAGCTTATGAAGGTCATAAGCTGCTCATATGCTCTACAAAATGTCGGCTAAATGATTAAGGTCATGGTTTGGAAATTACTGGCTTCTAGTCACTGCCCCCAATATAATTCTGATGAGCCAACTTTAAAGGACTCCACTGTCACAGCTAGTTATTATATGTCTTAATGATTGTTTTTCTGTTTTAAGTCATTCTGTGATTGTATTAATTTAGAAGCATCATTTTTTACTAATACAGACTTGTCTACTCCAACCCTACATGAGTCATCTTGTAATACAAATCGCAATAGTAGTAAGTAACTACTAACAAATAACTTCTGTCAATAAAAAACTCAGTCAAACATCTGGCTCGTGAATCAATTTAACAAATGATACATTATATTTCAATTATTTGGTTGAAATATTATCAAATTCTATGCCAATGGGACCTCATATGCAGCAAGTGAAATATGTACACATGTGCCTAACAAACATGAGGATATAAAATGAAAATCACATGCAGTAAATGGACACCTACCGCAATGACATCTGAGGCATGCTGCAACTTTTTTGTCAAATCTGCAACAGCTTTTTCCATATTGCGTTTAGTCACGTACATTAGATCTGAAAATGAAATGCCCTGATATTGTAAAGGAAAAAACAGATTCAGTATCACAAATAATTAAATCAGGAACATCAATCCATGACCCTTAAATGAGAAAAAAAAATTTAAGCAAAAAATACTTGTACGAGAGAAATAATGACAACCAAATACCAAAGTAACATTCAACAAACATGCATGAATCAAGCAGTTCCATACCTTCCACCACATGTAACCATAACCCAGAGCACCCAAGGCAGCTGCTGGAACCACGAGAGATGATAAATTACCTGCTGAAAAGGAAAAATGTTTAAAAAAAAAAAAACGAATGAAGCAAACAAATTCAGAATAGGTTCTACAGTCTACACAAAACACATCAACAGTTGACAGTCCTACATATGAAATGCAAAGAAACATCAAAAGTAAAACATAGCAGCAACATTAGATGGTAGAATAAAACATACTACTTTGTCCAGAACCACCATTCAGTACAGTAATTGGCCTGCTTGATGTTAACTGCCGAACTTCATTCGCCAGGCGACGCACCTGGAGCAAAGTCAAGCAATAGTATTGCAAAAAGTGATTTCAAACTCTCTTTCAAGTTTCAAATGTATTTCATAAAAACAAGATATTAGACATAATCAACCAGCTCATTACCTGAGCAGCTATGGCATCAGCATATTCACCTTCACCTTCAGCCTGATCTCCAGATTTTTCCAATCCCTTCACCAGCAACTATGACCAGAGAAAAAATACACATGTAATAAAACAAAACATTCTTAGCATTAAAAAATCTAATAGCCAGAACAATAATAGAAAAATCTCAATAATTCATCTTCTCAATCCAATAATTAGCCGTAAAAAGATATAATAATATACGAGAACTGTGAAAACACAGAGTGACCACCAAAACAACATATTAGCTTTAGTTTGAGTCATTCATTCCAAATTCGTAGGAAACAAAGGCATTTATGGCCAAAACTACAAATAATCAGATGAAAGTTAAAAACGAGTATTTCGAAACCCTATCATCACCATCTGCAGCAAATCATCACTCGCCTATGAATAATCTCCTCGATTTCAGTACCGCAGCACAAAATCCACAACTCAAAAAAAAATAAAAAACTTAAAAACAGAAAGAAATGCAATTGTACAATTTTCGCTCGTAGATTTCAAAAATTAAAATTAAGAGAGAGAAATATAATATTTGGATGAATAGGAAAGTGAAGGAAGTGGAGTTTGAAGATAAATTGATACCTGAAGCTCGCCGATCAAATCGGACAATTTGCCGTTTTTTATGAGGACGGTGCCGGTGTAACCTGAAGGAAGAGAGTGAAAACAGATGAGCGATACATAGTAGTTACTGATATGCGATGAAGAGAGAAAGAGAGGTACCAGCTCCAGCTATGACGAGGACCTTGGAGATCCCGATTCCGCTTTGCATAGCCATAGCCATGGCGAGAGAGAAAGAGAGAGAGAGAGAGAGAGATTCTGCGCCCTGTGCGCTACGCTGGTGAGTTAGTTAGGTTGCGTTGCACTATCAAATGCTTTCACTGTTGATCCAACAAGGAAAACGGGAACCGCCTCTCAAAATGACGTCGTTTTGGCCTCCGAGTACAAGACGGGTAATTTAATATGTCGGGATAATATTTAAAGTTTTTAAATAAAAATGAATAGTCAAAACGGAATAGTAAAATATATATATATATATATATATATATTATTTATTAAGTAAAATCAATGCTAAATATTAAAAAAATTAAACTAAAATTATTATTTTATATTAACAAGTTAATTATTTTTAACATTCAAAATATTTTTTAAAATCAAATTTAATTTATTTAATATTAATTTGTTTAACATTAATTATTTAAAATTAAATTTATTAAAATGAAAAAAAATTACTGAAGCACGAATTTATCTATGTTTTACATCTTTAAAAAAGAATTTAACGATAAAAAATTTTAAAATCTAAAATTAACCAAATTTAACTTTTTTATCCATAACTTTATTGAAATACATGTTTTTAGTCTTATCAACGAGTTTTGCTTCATCAAATGATTACGTGGGAAAAGGAGTAACGACATGTGCAGCGACTTAGATTTGTGTTAATTATGTCATTATTTAATGAAACAAAACTAACACAAAGATTAATAATGTATTTTTCAATTAAACTATATATCATAAAAAAAATCTAAGGGCCAGAATAAATTATGCTAATTTTTTCATGAACAAAAAAGAGTAATTAACCTTTTCTTTTATTGTAAAATTACTATAAATGAAGTTAAAAAATTTAGACTATCTAAAAAAACTTAAATATGATTTTTATCTTATAATTTTATAATTTTATTTATTTATTTATCTTTTCAATCTTTTAAATTTAACTTTTCAAAAATTAATTTTTGTTTAATTTTTAATAATTTATTAGTTTACTTAACTTTTAAGTTAGTTTATATAATTTGATATAAACATAATACATTTTTCTAATTTTTTAATTTTTTATTCAGTTTAATTCAAATCTCACTTGAGTTATATACCTAAGTATAGTAAAGAAGTATTTATTAAATATTATTTTCATTCATAAAATTTAAATTTAAAATTTTACTTAAGTAATAACGAATTATATATTTTTCTAACTTAGTATTTAAAAAATATTAAAATTAAAGTTTGAATATAACTTGTTATTTAATTTAATCATTTAGTTAAAACATGTTAGTTAAATTTTAAATAAATTATAACATGATATGTTAAATATAAAATAACACTATAGTATATTTTAATTATATTAATTGAAAATATTATAATATAAAATAATTAAAATAAATATCTTATTCTCATGAAAATTTTTAAAAATATATTATATTAACCATTAAAATAAAATATATTTTTAATTAATATAATTAATGACAAATTAATATATTATATTATATTTAATGTGATACATTATTATTTTTATAAGATTGAACTAGTGAATTTTGAGAGATAAACTAAAATAAATTAATAATATATTGCATATTTAAGATTTAATTTTAATATTTTTTTAAAATTAAATTCAAATTTTCTTTATTTTTTGAAGATACTAATTTAATATTTTAGTAAAGTTCTACGTACTTTACTTAAAGATTGAAACAGGTCAGACCGCCTGACAAGGGCATGTGATTTGACCTTTTTAATAAACAAATCAGGCTTAGACATTTTTTTAAGGCCTGTTTAAGTAAACAAGCTAGACATGAGCTGTTTATAAAGCCTGTTAAGCTTGACAGGACGACCTATATAAATATATCTATATATATATTATATAATTTAAAAATAGAGCTATCAAAATATATTTAAATAATAAAGTTATTTAATAATATATTTTTATATTCTTAATTCTGTTGTTATTAAATTAATATATTATGTTATAATTTTATTTATTTATAATTATAATAAACAGAAATTATATTATATTAAAAATTAAAAATATTTATACATGATTACACTTTTTAAATAATAAATTTATTTAATAATAAATTATTATATTTAAACAATTTAAAAAATAGTTAAGTCTTTGAAGAAGAATAAGACGTAATCAAAACTAAACAAAATAAAATAATAAAATTATATTAACATATTTTTTATACTCTTAATTTTATTATTATTAATTTAATTATTTAATTATTATATTAATATATTATGTTATAATTCTTTTTATTTATAATAAATAGAGATTGCTTAAATCTGACTTATATTTTATTTGAAAGTAAAAATTTATAAAAAAAAATGATAACAAAATAAAATAAAAAACTTATTATAATATATATTAATATATATAATCAAACTATGTAGCAAGTAATATAAATAATATAATTATAAATAAATTATATAATAATATATATTTTTATAACTTGCACATATTTTAATTAAATTATTAGTCAATTTATCAATTTATATGTAATTTATAAGTATGTGTTTTAATTTATTGTATCAGTAATATTTTTTATATTACATTAATATTATAGTGTAGTTAATTTTATATTTATTTATTAATTTAAAATAACAAATTAATGAGACAAATAAAATTTAATATTTTGTAATTATTTTTTAATTTAATAGTTATTATTGTTTTCATTATATATATATATATATATATATATATATATATATATATATATATATAGGTGGAAGACCAAACTGTTCGCAGAACAAACCTAATTCTTTTCTGTTCAAGGCCTTTTCCTTAGCAAGCTGTTTTTGGAGTTTTTCTTTTTGGCAGTCTTTAATACCGCTATGAACAATAATAGCAGTAAGCTGACCATAATCAAAACTATCATAATTGATTTCTCCAGTAGGAGAATTGCTTCGGAGTTTACTTCTAATAAGATCTCCGAAAGCTTTAGGAAGTCCATCAAGATATTTTTCTTTCCAGTAGGCTTGATTACAAACTTTTACATACTGCACTTTTCCTTTCTGCATCTCATATAGTAGTCCTGCTACTGCCTACTTTCCTTTCAGCCTTTTAATTTGTTTATTTTTTGTTCCCTTGATCCACTTCGGGTAATCTGGTACCAGAGCCTGATGGGGAAGTAGGAATATAACTGTTAATTGTTTATGGCTATGTTCTGCTGGATCTGGACTTTAAATTTCTTTATGAAATTTCTGTAACCATGGTTTATAGGCTGGACAGCTGACAGGCCCTTCGGGTGAGACCAGTTATGGTCGTCCCTGTCTGTAACAACGCCACGAACTAATGGTTCTGAAATATTGCTTTTGTATAGTTCTATGTTTTATGAAAATCTTTTACTGGAAGTACAGCAGTTCTTTGTTCTTTTGAATAGGGCTGTAGCAGTAAGTCCTGTATGGTTGAAAGGGCAGTAAGGCTAATTTGACGTTGCTGTATTCAAAAAGAACTAAGAACATAAGAAGCTGGTGGCTATAGTGAAAGAATTTTTCAGAATTTTGTAAGTAAAAAAAAAAAAAAGGGTCCACAAATAACCAGATCCAGTTGAAATAGTTATAAATAATTAACAGATGTATTGTTACGGAACCAGATGAGGGTGATGAGCCAGATGTTTTTTATATCATGTCTAGACTTTTACGCTCTTTCTCTCTCATTTCCCTTCGCTCTGGCTCTAGTTCTTCATCCTCCTCTCCCACTAAAACTAATCTCTTTGATGACCAGGAGAAACATTCTCCTGAAATCACACCCAAACACAATCTCTTTGACGAAGAAGTTCGTTTTGAAGAGATAAATCAGAGTATGGATGACTGGACCATCCCAGTCATTCCTCAGGATACATTATATGTTCCTGAAGACCAACCCAAGAAAAGCAGTTCTGATTATATTATCAAGACTGTTGAAAATAATATCCCTTTAGGAAAAGGTATAGGAGAAGAATTTCACCTCCTGTCTAAATCCTCCCTCAATGATCATAAGAGAAAATACAAATACCTTCACATAGGATGTGTTCAGGTAGCAATTAAACCTTTGATAGACATAGGCATAGATGCTGCTGTCTTAATCTGTCTAAGAGATATTCGTCATAATAAATTTGATGATTCTCTTATAGGAACAGTTGAAACCTGTCTCGGGCAAGGTCCTATTTATTTTAACTGTTTTCCCAACAAAACTGTGAGTCTTATGGATGAACACATCCTAGACTCCTTATTTCTCAATATTAGCTTTCATGGGTTAGACATGAAAGAGGGATCTATTCCCGCAGCTCTAATCTATAGGATTCAGTATAAGGTCATGAACTCTTGTACTTCTAGAGTCCTTCTTAAGCCCCAAAGAGGAGAAACTACTTTGTTTATCACTAATATGACAAAGGCTAATGTTTCTTTACCTAGAATTATCAAATGGGATGAGGTTACTCTCCCAGAAAAATGGGTTATGGATAAAGCCTCACCCAGTGTTCCTTGTCCTGCTCCTCAAATACAAGATATTTCACAGGACAATTCTGGAAAGGTTGAAATAACCTTTGATAGGAGAAACTCTTTCTCCTCTAGGATCGATACTTATAGTAATCGATCTGACTTTGTCTCTGCTAGAAGATCCTTTTCTTCTAGATCTTATATTAGACCTGATATTCCTAGGTCTGTTAATCATGACCCATCTTTAAATCTCCAGGGTTTAGACACTTCTTCTAGGATTCCTAGAAATGTTTACCAGACTTCTGAAAAGGAAGACGAAAATCAGAGTATCCAATCTCCAACTTACTCTTCCCTTAATGAGTCTTATGATGTTATTTCATAAATTCATTATAGATAAGGAAACCCTTAGGAAAGATTTCTACTCTGAGGAATGGAAATCTCAAAGAGAGTGGTTCTTTCAAAATTATAAGGGAAAAAATAGGTATGATATCCAAGAGAAATTCTACCAATTTCTCGAAAAAGTCAAACAAAACATCCCATTCTTTGATTAGTATCATGCTTATACCATTCATAATAATATTGATTATCCTTGGCAAGAGGATGTTATTAGTACCTCCTCTGCTAATGTTATATCCTGGCAAATCAAAAACGGACAAATAGTCCAAAGTGATTTGCCACCCACATCTCAATACC